AGCGCCGCCCACCCCGGCCCAGGCTCCCACCTCCGCGCGGCTCCGCTGCTGCGGCCGCCTCCACCCGGCGCCTTCCCGCGGGCAGGGGGCGCAGGACGCTGTCACCTGTGCCCCGGGGCCGGTGCCAGGCTGGACGCTCGGCGGGGCGGGGGATGAGCCTGGCACCCTCAGACCCCAAAGCCCAGCGCAATCCACAGCCCCGGGCTGCGGACCAGAGGGCAGCAACGTCCCCAAGCAGCGGGCAGCTGTGCTCCTCCTGCGCCTGACCCAGCGAGCCGCGGCAGGACTGAATGTGACCTCCAGACGCGGCGGGCGCGGGCGGGGGCGCGTGGCGGCCGCCCAGGCTCTGGAGGGGCGGGCCAACTTGGCACCGGCTTCCCTCCCTCTCTCCCCATCCGCGGCGGTGGCGGCGTCAGCAGTGGTAACAGATGAGGGTTCCAGAAAAACAGCGCCTCTCCACCCCCGGCAGACAGGGCGCAAACAGCCTCTTCCGCCGCCGCCAGCCCTCCCCACCCGCCCATTCCACCTGCAGTCTTCCCTGCGTCCCTACCAGCCTGAGCACTGTGGGGGGCACTAGGCAGGAAGCTGCGGTTCCAGCCGTGCCAACGGGACCCAGATCATCGTATTGGGGGAGCTCTGGAGTCCTTCAAGGGCTCTCTGCTGCCAGGGGCACCCCGGGCACCCGGACAACCACCAGCGTCCCCACCCAACCCCCAACACCTTCTCGCCTGCCCCAGGTGGCTCTTAGGAGGCTGCACCATGCAGAGCTGAACTTTGAGCACGATCCAGGTCAGGGCCAGTTTCCACGACGCTGGGGTCAATGACCTGCTCTTCCCTCCGACCTTTAGCCTTCCCCAGGGTAACGGGCTCCCCACGCCCCTGGCCCCAGCCCAGCCCTTGTCCCCGACCAGAAAGCAAGACCCAGTCCTGCTGGGAACTCAGGTCTCTCTTGGGAAGCGCCAAGGAGCTGCGGAGGATGCTATTCCTGTGGTGTCATCCCCAGCCTCCCATGACTTCGCCAGAACCTGTGGTTCCTGAAGGAAATCTTGCAGCCTCCGAGGGCCAGGACTGCTGCACTAGTCCTGGCTCCCTGGCTTGTGTGACCTGAGCCTCTGACTCTGCTCCAAGGCTGCCACAGGGCGCCTGCCCCTGCTGCCCCGGCTGGAGCCTGGCCTTCTCACAGCACCACCTCCTAGTAGAAGGACAAGAGGCACCACAGCTGGGGCCCACTGGTGTCTGAAGTGCTGGGGTGCATACCCAAAGGCAGAGGCTGCCAGCACAAGCTGCGGTCTGGGCTCCCCAACCCGCTTCAGACTTCTAAAGAAGCCGCTTTGTTCTTGGGAGTCAGGAGAGAGGAACTAGGAAGTGAAATGCAGCAGCAGGGGGTGGGGGTGGGGGTAGTGTGACAGCATGGGGGGGCGGGGCCTGGGCCTGGGGTCCCCACCTGAGCAGTGCTCTTCCAAGGCTGTGTCCTGGGAGTGCCCACATGGCCCTCCAGGACCGCACCCACCCTCCTGATAAGCTCACGTGCAAAGCAAACCCTCCTGTTCTCTGGCAGGGTGCAACAGCAGGCCCTGCCAGGCAGGCCACTTCCACATGGAAGCCCTGGGAACCCCAGCAAGTCAACCCAGTGCCAGCCTTGGTGCTACCATGCCCTTCATGTTTTACCCTACTCCTGTGCCACCCACCCCTCCTTTCCTCCCACCTTTGGGCTGCCCCACACCTCCCATATCCAGCCCAAGCTCAGGACTTCTCCCCATGGACAGGGATGGCACATGCACCCCAGTGTCCACCCTCTAGCCGCAGGCAGCCTGAGCCCAAAGGTGACACTGGCCCTGGACACAGCACCATTCAGCCCACAGGTCTCACTCAGGGCATCTGCCACTACTCTGTGCACTGACCACTGCATGGCACTGCCCCTCAGGCATGCAGGTAGGCAGGAAAAAAGAACAAGTGGCAGGGGGTTCACCCCACCCTCCCAAGTCTTAGCTAGCCCCTTACTGCCCTGTGCCCAGCTGCCCAAGTTTCCAGGGCTCCACTCACTCTGCCCTTGCCCTGGGCCCAGGAGGCCCATCTGGCTCTGAGTGCTGCTGGGCGCCCTGCCGGCCGCTGGCTCCTGGCCACCCGAGGAGGAGGGGCTGGAGGCTCCAGTTCGACGGGTCAGGACTCCAAGCCAGGCCAGACCGACCTTTCCCAGGGGACCCGGAGGCCCTTGCCCGGCAGCACCTGCTGCCCCTCCCTCCTGCATGGCTCGAGGCCCAGGCAGCTGGCCAGTTCCCCAGGGCTGCCCGGTTGCCAGGGAGGCAGCTTCCTGCACGGGCTCTGTCCCCACCCAGGGTGAACCTGGGACAGCAGCCTGGGCCCTGCACCCGCGGGGCCTGGGCCCTCTTGCTCCTCCACCCTTAGAGCAACAGCCAAAGCCCACTCTGCATCTCTGCCTTCTGCCCCGATGCTCATGGTCAGCACGGCTTGTGCCCCACATTGCCTCGCCACAGACCCTTTGCACGTGCTGTTCCCTTCCCTCCTTCCACCTGGGGTACAGCACCCAGCCCAGCCCAGCCCAGGGGATCACTCGTTTAGTCATCACATTGCCTCCATTTTTACTCTACACCTAAAGCTGTGTGATCTGAGGCAGCTCACAAAACCTCTCTTGAGCCTCGATTTCCTCTAAATAAATGCAGTAACAGAGGCTAGTGGGGATGGAGTGTCTATGCAAGAGAAGTAGCTGACACCCTGGAATGCGGGAGGGGCCCTGAAGAGCCACCAAGGCCGATTGCTACATTCCAGGCTTTCAGGCTGACAAGCAGCAATGGGAACAGGACCCCAGCACACCATCTGCACCAGGAAGGCTTCTGGAGACAGTGCCGGCTCCTGGCAGAGCACCCCCACCCCCACCGGGCTGAAGGACCACGATGCCACCTGGCTCGGCACAGCTGCCACCACGTCCTCTCCACACTGCAGGCTCCGAGGGCAGGAGGTGCAGCAGGCAAGGAGTCTCAGGCCGGCGCACCTGCTCCTGCTCTCGCCCCCGCCACTGCCCCAGGAGATGCGCCCGCCCTCAGCAGCCGCCCACCCGCACAGCGCGGTAATTGTCCAGATTGCTGTCATTCCCAGCACAGCGCACTGGCGCTGAGCTCAGGCGTCCTTACAAATGTCACCAAGCAGGCTGGAGTGGCCCAGCTCCGGCTCCCCGCTCGTGGGCAGGCCAAGAGCTCTGCACGCCACAGGCCCAACCTTGAGGCCACAGGACACGCACCACCCAGGTGGTAACTCAGCCTGTGGCCCTCTGCCCTCCAGGGAAGCAGGGACAGGCCCCGGCGACCACAGAGAGGAGACAGGGGCTGCAGGACACTGACCGGGGCAGAGAGGCTGGACCTCATGCTGGGGAGAAGTGATGGTAAATGGGCAGCACCCAGCACTGGGAGGCAGAGGCAACCGAGTGAGTTTATGGCTGCCTTGGCTTGCACAGGAGACCCTCTCAGACCCCAAAAAACAAACCAAATAACTGATCACCACCTAATTACACTTTTTACTTTAGGCCTCCGGAATTTTAATCATTTTAAACAAGTGAAACACATTTCAAAAGAGCACAAGCCCAGCCTGGGCAACTCAGTGACTCGGTGACACCCTGCCTCAGAACCTTAAGGGGGCTGGGGACATAGCTCAGGGCAGCAATCGAGGCTTCAGTCCCCTTCACCGTGCCCTAGTAGGAACGGTACCGGTATCAGCACGCATAGCACATACCACAAACAGACTGGCCATCGCCACTGAGCTCAGGGCGGCACTGCACATGCAGGACACAGGAGCCGAGCCCTGCTTGCCCACACCAGGGGCGCTGGCCCCTGGGCACCGGCTAATGGTGGTGAAGGGGCCAAGGAAAGAATGTATCAGGAGATGCACGAGGGCCTTTGGTCCTCTGGGCCCACGCTGCCCCGGGCACCTCCCAGCCTGCCCAGGCAGAGGGGTGAGCACAGCTCCTGGCTGCTCCAGGATGCCAGCCTCCTGTGCCCGCCCTCCCTGATAGGGCCACCATCCCGACTGAGGGGCCACCCGGACCCGTCGCGTGTTCTGAGCCCTCGGCCATGGCCCCAGCCCTCTGTCTGGAACACGAGACGAGGACCCTGTGCATGGAACAGGAAGCCAGGCACTGCCCGGTCCTGGAGTGACTGTGAATGCTGCTCAGTGCAGGCACAGCACTGTGTGGAGACAGATGTCTCTGGAGGGCACAGGACAGTAAGGGTACCAGTCACCACTCACTGGGAGCTGGCCCGGCCCGGCCCGGAGACTAACCGCCACCCTGGACACTGGGGTCGACAGATGGCCAACCAAGACTAGGAAGCCAGCAATGCCCAGGCAGTGGCTTCTAGGGAGTTGGGGCGCACAGCTACTGGTTACCCCAGCCGGGCATGGCTCTGGGTTCAGGATGAAGAGCTGAGGGGTGACCCTATGGCTCCCAGCCTGTCTCCTCGCTGCCTGTCATAGGTTGCCAGGAAGTCGAGCACGGCCTCTGCTCTGACACCTACGCCCCCAGCCCCACAACACCCAAATTCAGCCCCAGGATCCATGTGGTGGGCAACTTGCACACCCATTCCTGCCAGACGACACGCCACGCCACTCCACAGCGGGCCAGCGGGTCAGAGTCTTCAAGCCATAGTCCACAACCTCCACGCAAGGCTGGGCACCCCTGCGGGGAGCGCACTAAACGCTAACGCTGCTGAGCTCCCAGGAACAATGTCACCATCCCTGCACAGAGGAGGTGCCGGCCAGAGGCACCAGCAGCCACTCACAGCCCACACCCCAAGGTCACCGTCCCCACCCCAGAACACCAGGCTGGGTCCCCAGGTCTGAGGGTGCTGCCCAGAGGCACCGCACGCTGCCGCCGCCTCACCTTTCTTGGCAGTCTCCATCTCCTCCTCCGTCCAGCGTGAGCTCTCGTTCATCTCCAGAGAAGCTGCAAAGGAACACGGCAATCGGCGGCAGCCCTGAGGGGCCACACTCCGCCTCCTGCAGTGCCCAGTCCTCCGCGGTGCTGGCTATGCCACCACTGTGCACTGACCGGGAGACTGAGGCAGGGAAGGGCCATGGCCATGATGGCCAGCTCGGCCTGCACGCTGCCGGGAAGAGGGCCCATGGGTGACATGGTAACCACGGGAGGGGATGAGGGCAGAAGTGTCCCTGGAGTCGAGTCTGGGATCCCAGCTGCTCTGTTTGGACATGGCGTGGGGGGGGAGGGGGGGAATGACTGGAGCACCTGAGGACCCAAATGCTGAATGCCAGTTGTGACCACCCAGCGTGTCCCCACACTTGCCCACCTGTCTAAGAGGAACACTGTGGCTTCGGGGACCAGAGAGGAGAGTCATATCTCCGTGTGATGCCGCGTCTAAGCCACTCCTCTAAGTGCCCCAGATGTGGGCCCGGCCCTTCCCTCCCGGTGGGCCAGGAGGGGGGTGGACACACAGGGATAATTCCAGGGACCAGCACTGGGGACAGCACCTGGCACAGCCAGCAGACAGAGCCAGGGCAGGGCCAGTCCCTATGCCCACAAAGCCTCCCTCCCATCCCTGCAGTCAGCGAGCTGCAGCTAAGAACCGACCCTCGGGACTGGCCCTCAGGGACCCCAGGTAGGCTGAGGCAGGCTTGCAGGGGCAGAAGGTGCTAGAACAGTGCACAAGACAGGGACTCGGGCACGTGTGCACCTGCATCCAGGCTCCAGCTTGGGCCTGGAGCCTAAAAGCACCCAGACAGCAGGTGTGCCGGGTGGCAGCAAGCAAACACCTGCAGGTCAAGTGCACCATAGACTCGCGGAGCACGGGGCCCCTTCTCTGAACCTCATGGGGCTCGCGCACTGCTGCCCCCTGTGGCTGGGCTGGGGAACTGCAGCTAAGGTGGTTTTCTCCAATTTGGGAGAGGGAGGCTGGGCAGAAGAAAATGTAGCCCTGGTGGGACACCTAGCAGGGCAGAAAGGAGGGTCACACAGTGTCCTCCAGCTGTGACCCATAGGACTCAGGGTGGCTGGGCTGGGAATACAGCTCAGTGGCATGGTGTCTGCCTGGCAAGCACAAGGTCCTGAGTTTGATTCTTGGCACCAAAAAAAAATGCCCACCTCCCAGGTCTGCTCCTAGACTCTTCCTGCACCACAGGGTCAGGGCAGTGCTAGGATCGGGCCACAGGGAAGCTGAAGAGGCCCAGTGTCCCTGCCCCAGCCCGGCCCCACCCCTCACCCAGCTCGGCGCTCTGCTGTGGGGTGACGGCCTCGTCATTGTTGGCTTCATTGGCCATGGAGCGTGTGATGCGGCCCTTGCGCCGGCCCTGGCTGTTGGCAGTTTTGCGGCCCTTGGAGGCCACCGCCTCCCTCTCATCGTTATCCTCTCCAGAGGTGTCGTCCGTCTTCTCCCTGAAGGCCGAGGAGGATGGAGATGTACTAGCAGGGCCTGTACAGTCACATCCATCTGCTCCTAGTCGGTGGGAGGAGACCCCTGCAACTCAGCAGCCGGAAAAAGGGTGAGGCTGGGCCGGGCAGGCTGGGATGCTAGAGACCCATGAGCCCAGCTTACGCATGGGGCAGCTGCGAGCCACTGACTGACTGTGTTAGGCCTGTGCGTGCGAGGCCTGGGGCTCGCAGGGGCGGCTTCTCCACTGGGAAAAGCCAAACACTTTCTGCAAGGTACATTGTCCCCTGGGAGACACGGGCTGTCGTCTCCGTGTGAAGCACTGCTGCCCACACCAGCACTTGGCGAGCAGAAGAGGACATGGCTGGTAGCAGCCCCAAGGCCACTCTGCTCCCCATGGGGACGCCTTCCACAGAGCTCTAAGCATCCACACCCCACTCCGGTACCCTCATGTCCCCCTGGGGCACTCCACTGGTGCTGCACCAGGCCCAGGGGCATAGGCACAGGACCTCTGTCCCTGGGGCTTTTTGGGAGGCTGGCTCAGGGCGGCGTGGCCTGGTAGGCCTCCCCATCTCTCCTGCAGGGCCTGATGGGAGTGCATTCCTGGTCTAAGGCAGGTACCTGGCATCCAGAGGGCTGCCCCCTCCACCACCTCTGCTGGATGCCATCCTGCCTCAGTATCCTGAGACACCTCCACCAGAGGTCAGAGATGGAGGAGGAAGAGGAAGGGGAGGGAGTGGCAGCCACCGCAGTTGCCAAGTTGCTCCTGCGTCTCCCAGCCCAGCAGCAGAGCTCCAAGGAGCCACTGGCCTCACAGGGCTCCAGGAGATAAAGACAGAAAGGGAAGCAGCAGCTTCTGGGTGGCCGCGGTCCGAGCCTTACTTGATGAGCTCCTCCTTGCCGTTCTCCACGTCTGGCTTCTCCTCCTCCTTCTCGGCCTCCTTCTCCTTCTCCTCCTTCTCCTCCTGGCTGCTGCGTGGGGGCGGCGGGGGCTGCTGCTGCTGCCGTGGGGAGAGGAGAGTGGTGAGGCGGGCACATCTCTGTATCTCTATCCACACCTGGGCACGCGGGGTTGGGAGGAGGGGCGGGCACGGAGGCTGGGCTCCAATAGAGGGAGGAGGCTGCGCACTAGGACAGCTCTGCAGCCCAGGGGGAGCTGGAGTTGGACCCCAGTTCTGTTCATGCCTCCTAGAGAAAGACCTTAACTATGTGTTCAGATTTCTTCACCTCAGAAATGGGTACATAAGCAAAGCATAGTGCCACACACCTGTCACCCCAGCACTCTGAGAGGCTGGGCAAGAGCACTCCAAGTTAGAGACCCATTTTGGGTATCTGAGGGACTTAGCAGGGCCAGACTCAAAAGGTGCTCACATTTGCACTCAGGGCTGTGGACCAGGCTTGGCACTGCATTTCCAACAGCTCCCAGGCAGCGGCTGTGCACAAACCAGGCACACCCGGGACCTCAGCCCCGGTGGTCTCGCACCTCCTTTCAGAACCAGGACCCCAGGGCCCTGGCACCTCAGAGCTCCCCACCAGGACTCCCTGTGCTCTCTGGACGCCATACCCCCCTCAAGCTGTTGGGAGCCCGCGGAACCCACAGGAGCTATGGTTGGCCAGGCCACTGGTGCTGCCCGCAGGGATGCTGCTTTCAGAAAAAAAAAACATTGGTAAGAATGCTCACCAGCCAGGTGCAGCGCCACCTGACGGGCTGTCTCATCTTTCACCCTCCAGCCCTTGCATGGGGCCGCCCTTGCCTCAGGCCCTTTGCACACACTGTGCCTCACTGGGCTGCTCCTCTCCAACACCATTCCTTCTCATCAATGCCTCTGCGCGGAGCTCAATGCCTCCCTGTGGTCCCCAGTGGCTTGTGGGCAAGGTGTGCCCACCACCCACTCCGTGCTGCCCACCTGCAGGCTAGCCTCTGGCCATACTGACACACAGCCTCTTAGCGAGCTCCAGGTGCAGGGGCTGCAGAGCTCACCAACCAAACCAGGTCACTCACTCCTAGGAATGGAGCTGGGACAGGAGAGATGGTGGAGGCAGGAGAGGGTTAGGAGAGGCACCAGAAGCCACAGGCCCCACCCCCCATGCCTGGCTTCCTCCAACCCCAGGCAGCCAGGTGGGTCACATGGTCCTTCAAGTGCGCATCAATGGGGGCAGGGGCCACAGTCCAACACACTCAGCTGACCCCATGTGTCCCTGGGTCACTGCAGGTAGACGGTTCCCTGGAGCCCCTCGGCCAGGTTATGTTGAGGACAGGTCCGGGTGGTCTAAGGTGCCTGTGTCTTGGCTTGCCTTCCCTCCACCCCAACACAGAAGCTCGGAAGGAGGACAGCACCCCAGCCAAGCTGCATGGTCGGCACGGTGGATGTGCTACCCAAAGGACCTGACCCACAGACCCTCCACCCATGGATGCAGTGGGGTGGGCACTGGGTGAGGACACCAGGGCAGGCCAAGCCCTTTGATGGACACAGCAAAGGTGGCCATGAGACGCCCGAACCCCAGTCCCAGCCAGAACTTCCCCTCCAGGGTTCTATGGTGACCTTACACCCTTCCCAGGCCTGCAAGTTGTCACCGTCACCATGGAGATAAAGGCTAAGCAGAGGGCTAGAGGGGCCTGCAGGGCCCAGACCCGCACTGCCTTGCAGAGATCGGCTGAGGAACCTCAGTGACTTCTTCAGGTGGGCAAGCACATGCCTGTGCACAAGGCATAGCTCCGCAAACATGCAGATGCACAGCCACCTGCAGGGGATGCGCCAGGCTCCTGGAGAAAGGACACAGCCCAACCTCCGCCATTAGCCCACAGCGCCTGCTCAGCTCAGGGCTGAGTGGGGACCTCCGTGAAGGGCAGCCGGGGCCTCAAGGAGGACACCCACTCTGGGCTTCAGGCATGGCTCCCACAGGCACCCCCCATCAGCCCTGACCCCAAGGAGACCGGAAGTCTAACTGCAGGGAAGTGCACAGTTTGGGTACCCTGTAGGGTCACAGCATTCTTGATGCCCCCACAATCCATTAAGGTAGGGGAGGGGGACCCCATCCTGGGCCAGGGACTAGCCTGGCAACTCAGGCAACAGCACGTGTACACATGGTAGTACAGGAGACCCACAAAGCCCCAGGCCCGAGTGCCCAACCACAGTGACAACAGGCAGGAAAGGAGGGGTCACCCTCCAAAGGTGGAGTCACTGCCACAACATACAGCTGGCGCCCAACGCATGCACATCCTGTGCAGGCCCCAGACACCCAGGTGCCAGGACCACCCTGCAGGGCATTGGAGGGTCCACGGAGTGGGCAGGGCAGGGAAACCACTCGGGCCATCAGCGGCAGCATGGCCCAGAGCCACAGGAACTGCGCTAGGCTGAGGCACCACAGCCTCTCTGTGGCCACATCCAGCAGCCCCTGTACTCACCAGCCACCCAGAAAGGGGAGGCACCTGAAAGGGGACCAAGAGAGAGCAAGAGGGGGAATGAGAGACACCGACACGGAGACACACCGAGAAAGAGAGATGGACACTCAGGGCTGCTGGGCCCCAGGAGCTGTGCTGCAGGAACGGCAGAGACAGGGAGAGTCCAAAGCAGCCCAGGGACACAGCCACAGAGGTGAGGGCCAAATAGTGCCCCCTCCTGCCCTGTGGCAGTCAGCACTTCTACCTTAAGTGTCTCCAGGGCAGGGCCCAAGCCTGGCCTACTGGGGTCCCGCTAGCATCTATGCCCTTACAGCAGGATCTGGCCAACCCCAGCCAGCTGTGGCACTGAGCACCAGCTTCTGGCTGTCTCTGGATGTAGTGCCCGTCTGGCTCCTGCCAGCCAGACAGAGCCAGTCACCACCTTCCTGGGCTGCTCCAGAGAGCAGCAGCCGGGCCTGGGCTGTCGATGCAGCTGCGCTCTGTTCTCCCAGGAGCTCAAGGAAGGGGAGGAGCAGAGAGGAATGTGGACAGGTGACAGGGCAGCTGCAGGAAAGGCAGGCGGGCCATGTGCTCGGTGGCGCCATGCTGCCAGGGGTGGGCTGAGGGTTGGCTGAAGAGGAAGAGGGGACCTGTGGTCAGCCTGAAAGTCCTGGCTATCAAGGAAGGGGTGGCTGCCTGTGCCTGCCACCACCTATGTCCACATGGGGTCTTTAGACCAGCACACTGGTTAGGGGTTAGGATTAAGGTAGGGTTGGGATTACCGTTAGAGTAGGGTTAGGGTTCAGATTAGGGATTATGGTTTATGTAGTATTAGCTTTAGGATTAGGGTCAGAGTTAAGGTCACAGTTAGGGTAGAGTTAAGTGCTAGGGTCAGGAGTTATGGTTAGGGCAATGTTAGAGTTAACACTGAAGTCGGGGTTAAGGATTATGGCTAGGGTCGAGTTAGCATTAGGACTAAAATCAGGATCAAGGCTTATGGTTAGGATAGCGTTAGCAGTTAGGGTTAGGATCAGGATAGGGTCAGAGTTCTGTCGGGGCAGGGTTAGGGTTAGGATTAGCGCTAGGGTTAGGGCTGGGCTGGCCTTACAACCCCCATCCGGTCTCATCTCGGCAGACTCACCAAGCTGCCCTATGCTGCCCAGCCTTCTGACCCTTCTGATGATGCGCTAGAAACCGTGTTCAGAGAAAAAGTAACTGGTTCTTAAATCGAGGTGAGTTTTGTTTTGTTTTGTTTTTTTAGGTGAGTTTTTAAAAATGAAAGGAAGGGCTGGGGAGATGGCTCAGTGGAATAAGCGCTTCCCTGGCAAGCGCAAGGGCCTGAGTTCAATCCCTGGTTCTGAAAAAAAAAAAAAAAAAAAAAAAAAAAGAAAGGAAATCCTCGAACTTCGTAGCTTAATCAACTTGCATTTGCTGTTGAAACCTGTCCCTCACGGCCACCAATGTTCGAGCTGCTAGGCAGCCGCAGCAAAGGAACAGGGCTGGGTGGTCTGTGACGGGGAACAGGGCCAGGAGCTGGGGGCGCAGGGAGCCCCAAAGTGTGACAGCAAGAAGACTCGGCCTCTCTCCCCCGGGCCGAGCTCCTGCCCCTGCGCATTCTGGCGTCTGGGGCTGGGAAGGCAGGAGGGAACCTGAGGCCTGTGTGGCTGGCATGGCTGGGAAGTCTGTCTGGCGTCTGTCCATCCGTCTGCCTATTCGGTAGTCAGGGCCCTAGAAGCTCTGCGCTCACGGTGACCAGCAGGGGCTACAGAGACACTGAGCACTGGCCCTGGGAGGGCAGAGGTCGGCCCCGGTCCTAGGCAGCTCACCTCCCCGGAGACCGCCCAAAGGCACACAGGGCAAATGTGGCAAACCAGGTGCTCCGGCCAGTAGGTCACCAAGGACCGAGCCACTTCTCTCTGTCCACGTGAGACATAGGGCAGGGAGGGACTTGGGACCCCAACAGCGCTAGATGTCCCTGAACCCAGGGTCACAGGAAAGAGAGGCTAAACTACCACTTGTTGCCTGGGGCAGAGCACAATCCCTATTGCCCTAGCCACAGGGCGGGGCAGAAAGTGGATCCCTGGGCCAGCCAGACAGCCCAGTGGACTTACGCCCCTGCTTAGGCAGAGCACAGGAACTGGGGTTCGAGCCCCGGCATGTAGTGCTGGCCCTGCCCCCAGGGCACAATGAGACACAGATTGAGACTGGGCGTGGTGGCATGTGCCTGTAATCCCAGCACTGGGGAGGCTGAAAACAAGAGGATCACTACGAGTGTGATCTATGCGGTAAGATCCTGTAGACCCTGTACTAAATACAAAAAAAAAGAGAGAGAGAGAGAAAGAGAAAGCGGCTCTGTTTCCTCAGTCTTGTCCCTCAGCCCGGCCCAGTAGAAAGGATCTGCCTCCTCCCCACACTGCGAGCCCAGCAGGGCACTGGGCCCTTCCTCCCCAATGCCCGCAGCCGGCCACTGCCAGGGTCCTGCTGAGCCCACCCTCTATGCCCACGAAGGCGCAGGAGGAGGCCCGGAAGGCTGAAGGGTCTACACCTCCCCCCGCCTCACACAATGTTCTGCAGACACTTGTAGGCCCGCAGCCCCTCCTCTCACTGCCTTGGTACCCAGGGCCTCAGGGCACGCTGTCCCACTTGGCACTGGCTTGCCCTTCTCCCTCTGATCTAGCAAAGTCTCCTGTGTCCCTCCTCTTCCCCAGAGCCACCGTCAGGTCTCCGCATCACTCTGCCTGTGCCACCAAGACCGTCTCAGGCTTCCATCAGCAAGGAAGCCCCAGCCGCAAACCAAAGCAGCCGCCCTCACTCATCCACAGGGACAGGAGAGGGCCTCGGTCCCGGGCAACATGCCAGGACACTCAGCAGGCGGCCAGGGCTGCTTCAGCCCTGTCAACAAATTGGCAAGCACCACTGACCCCCAAACCTTTGCAATCATTCACACAGTGTTTCCGAACCAACTTCCCCCTCTGACGCAAAGGCCTGCCAATGTTTCCCATAAAGGGCCTGAGGATTTTTGGCTCCACAGGCCACAGTTCTTGTCACAGGGGCAGAGAGACACACAGCTGCCATGGTCATGTGCACCAGAATGATGGTGGCCATGTTCCAATGAAACTTCATTGGTATCACCAGGCAGGGGCTGGCCGGAGCCTTCCAGCACGACCTGCCCTCCCACTTCACCTGCCTCCTCCCACCTCTGGCATTTGTGTGGCCAGCGACAATGCTCACCTCTGCCTATTTTTCCCTCTCAAAGATCCATGAAAACAAACACACCACGCTACTAAAATTGAAAGCGCCCTCCCCTGCCATACACTCCTGGGAGCCCTCACTTTAGGACCATGGCTCTTCAGACACACAGCAACCACAGTACACTGGGCCAGGGGACCAGGGATTTTCCAGACTGAGGACATAAGTGACGTTGTCCCCCAGCTCCACCCCGCTGCTAGATAGGCCAGGAGGACAGGCATCCCCCAAGGGTTTCCCTGCTGGCCACTGCGCCCCAGTGCTCACCTGGCTCTTGCCGCGGCGCCGGTAGCTCCGCCTCACCAGGCTCTTATAGTTCTCGTTCTTCTTGGTCAGGTAGTAGTAGAGGACGCACTCGGCCACCGTCTGCAGGGACAGAGAGCACTGAGGCATGGACTTTTTTTTTTTTTTTTTTTTTTTGTGCAGGGTCTCACTATGCAGCTCCAACTCATGGTGATTCTCCTGTTTTCAGACTCCCCAGTACTGGGATTACAGGCGTGCCCCACCACGCCCAGACTCAGTTGCCAGCTCAGTGTGCCCAGGGGTGGGGCCAGCGCAGCATGTGGTGGTCAGGGATCAAACCTGGCCCCTGAGCCCTAAGCAGATGCTTAGTCCGACGGGCTAGCTCACCTGCCCTTGAGGCATGGACATTTGATGCAGGAGCCAGAGGCCTGGGTTCAAAGTCCAGCTCCTCCTTGGACCAGGCGGGTGACTGGCAGCAGTGACCTAACCTCTGCACCTTGGTCTTTCAGTCCGTAAGATGGAGATGCTAACATACACGCCTCCCAGAACTGTCATGAAGATCAAAAAGCTCACTGATAGCCAGGAGGCGTGGGACACACACGGGGAAACGAGAAGCAGTGGCTTTCCAGACCAGTGCTGCCCTGCTACTGTTGGCGGTGACAGCGGCTGTGCTCAGGCCACTGTGAAATCAGGGCCTGGGACTCTGGTCTCTGGCCTCAGCCTCCCTCTCCTGATAGCTACCACACAAGCACCAGGGACTCAGTCCCTGTGTCACACATCAAGCACTGCTTCTCCCTCTGCCTGGACTCCCCGTGTGGGCGAGGTCTGAGCTCTGGTGGCCTCCTTGTGCCTCAGAACACAGAGTCACTGCTGCGAACACTCCCGAGACACCAAGCACATGGCCCCAAAATAGGTCCAGTGCTGATCCCGGATGCCACTGCTGCCCTAGCAGGCCACTTCCTGGAACAGGCCACCAACACAGGCTTTCTCACAGGAGGCCCCAATCCACCTAGACTTTTTCCTTTATAGCACTGGGAACTGAATGCAGGGCCTCTGCCCTAAGCTACACCCACAGCCCTTATTTTGCTCTCAGATCAGATTCTTCCTGCCTCAGCCTCCTGGAGCACTGGGATTACGAGCAAGCATCCGCACGCTCGGCTAGGACATTTTCTAATTAGAGGCCCACATAGAACATGTGTGGACTGGCCGAGCGGGCGTTAGACCCTGTGGGACACAGGTGACCTGCTCCAGGCAGAGGGGGGCAGGTGGCAGGGGCCTCACAGTGCAGTGTCAGCCTCACTCTCTGCCTGTTGTCACTAGTCCCACCGCTGTCACCTCCCTGTCACCTGCCAGCCCCCGGGAGCTCGCTGATGTCTCCACTGCCCTAGTGGCTCTTGGCCAAGGATGCCTCGACGCCCACTCGCTCTGCCGGGACCGCCATCCCCTCCTGCCCCTCTACCATGCTGCGTTGCTCAATCCCCACCTCTGAGTCCTAGGAGTCCCGCCAGCATCTGCAGCGTCCACACCCGCGGCTGTAGTCACTAACTCAGAGAGAGCTATTTATAGGGCGTCTCTGCCACACTGGTTTTTCAGGCGCAGAGCTGTCCCTCACTTGTCCCACCCGCCTCCTCGGAGGTCATCAGCCTGTCACAGGCAGCCATGGGGACCACAGTCACCCTCTGAACCAGCCGCCTGCGTGGCCCACATAGACTGTAGGCCTGACAGGGTTCCCGCGGGCAGCCACCCATCCTGCTGTACCCCACAATGTTGGTGACTGCGGTTGATACCAGCATCACCCACAACGCCATCTCTGCCACTGCCAGCCGAGGGGCAATGGCCACCCAGCTGCATGGGCAGAGAGCTGGCCACTCTGAGGATATTCAGGTCTCTGACCTCTAGAGCCAAGGACCGTGGCTCCCCGCTCAGCATGGAGCATGAGCCTCAAGGTAGCTCTACAGGTGGTGTGACCTGGCTTTGGGGAGAAGCATACGGTGACCAGGACAGAGGCCTGGCGAGGTCACTGCCCTGTTTCTGGTGGTTCACCACACCCGCCTGCTCTGTCCCCAATCTCCCTGGATGCTCAGCGCCACCTCTGAGGAGTCAGGCACCTGGGACTCCAGGGAGTCCCTAGGGCTATCTGCTCACCGAGGGCATCCTAGTGCTTTCATCTGACCAGGCCCTGAGGCAGGGCCTGAGCATCTCCAGGCAGTGGATAGGCAGGAGGACTTGATGACAGGGGCCTCGGGTGTGAGGAGGGTGTCCAGTGGCCCAGACACCGGCCCAGGACAAGGACCACAAGAAGACACAAAGCAGGACAGCAGGCAGCCAGGGGACTTACCTTCCTCTCCAGGAACGAGGCGATCAGGCCGAAGTTCTTGGGGTGCTGCATGAATCTGTGGGGAGGAGGAGGAGGGCGGCTGTGAGTGCCTGGGCGCAGGCCAAGTGGGGCCGGGCTTGTTGGGCACCGCCCTGCCTGGGTGTGATACAGGTGGGGTGGGGGTGGGGACCTGCAGAGCTTCCCGCTTGAGTCACAGCCTCACGCCTTTGAAATGGATTTGTTTCAAGTGGCTTCCAGGAAACAAGGGCTTTATGCAGCCTTTGGCAGGTGGGACATCCCAGTGCTGTCTACTGTCCCTCTCCTTGGCTGGCGCTGGGAAGCTGGGCTTTGCCCAGCCCACACAGCCTGCTCTGGATGAGGTTGTGCCACAGCACTGGGCCTCTGAGAGGGCCTGGTGCCGTGGGCAGGAGGAGCCGGCTGGCAGGAGGTGTAAGCGCACACAGCCCGAGGCGGTGGTGGGGGCTGGCGCTCTCTTCCTGGGAGCCCAGACAGTCACCAGGAGTGCACTGTGTCAGGCTGAAGTCAGGACCAAGGGGGCAAGGGTGGCAGGGCAGGGGCGGGGCCAACCCAGAGAGCAACTCCACAGTGTGGAGCTGCTGGGCCTGACCCCAGGGTCCCTGCAACCTGCCACCCATGGGCTCTCAAGGACAGAGAAGCCCCTGACCAGCAGGGCAGGGTGCAGCTCCCACCAGAGAACTGGCCAGGGAGGTCTCCAAATGCTGCCACCAGGTGGCCAGGCAAAAGGCCAGTGGCCTGCCCACTCCCAGCCAGACACCAGGGAATCCAGAGCAGCTCAGAACCCTTTCTTCTGGGGCTACTAGAACATTCTTTTCAGGTGAAGGGGCAACCCAGACACTGGTCCTTCAACAGACAATGGATCCACTACAGCAGCACGGCCAGTAGGGAGGCCCACAACTGTGTCTCCACTCTTCCCGCCTTCCTCGGGTTCTCAGGTGCCCCTGGGCGGGGGCCAGTCTGGCCATTAGGTGGAAGTGATCACAGACCCAACGGTGTGGAGGCCCAGGCCCACATCACACCCTGCACCCCACCATGGAGTGCGGTCCACGTGGACCCCGCTCTGAGTTTTCTGGGGGATGAGGTCTTTCTTCCTCCCAAGGGCTGCATACTGTCCTCCCAGAACAGTTATCCAGGCCCCGCACGGCCTCCGCACTAGGCAGCGCCTGCTTCTCATCCCCTACCCTCCCTCTGGGAAGAGCACACATCACGCGGCCTCTGCGAGTGGAGTAACCTCTCTGTGCCTGTGTCTCACAGCTCAGATGGCCGGCTGTGAGGGGCAAGAGGGATACGCTCTCCCTCCCACTCGGGGGACATGGCAGAGTACCAGCCCAAGGCTGCGCGACAACAGCGGCTCTGAGACAAAGGGGCTCCTGGGGCCAGGGTGGGCTCAGTTAGAGCAACAGCCAGGCACACTGGGCGTGGAGGTGCACACCTGTCACCCCAGCACTGGAGAGGCTGAGGCAGGAAGATGGTTGTGAGTTTGAGACCAATCTGGGCTACAAAGCAAGCTTAAGACCAGCCTGAAATAACTGCATAGTGAGACCCTGTCTCAAAATGACAACAAAGCTCAGCAGCATCCACTTGTGACCACAGCGCCCCACACACAGCCACCTCCACAGAGGACCGGGCTGAACAGTCTCCCAGAAGTCATGTCCACCCTAGGACTCAGAGCGTGACCGGACACGGCAGACACTTAGTAGACACACGGCCTCCAGAGCCCTGTGCTTTGCACCCGCAAGGATGGAGACGAGCGGACGGACGGCAGAGGGCGGCAAGGCGCAGACTCACTTCTCCCTGAAGGTCTCCTTCTCCTGCTCGCTCCACATGTTCGTGACCTGGCGGTCCTTGTACACCTTCATGGGGTCATCCATGAGCCCATTCATGTTGATGAACTTGATGCGCTGCTGATCGGCATCGTACAGCATGGGCGGGATCACGGCCAGCTGCCGCATCTGCTTCTCCAGGTTCTGTGGGCACAGCAGGGCAGGACTGGAGACGCCCGAGGGGGAAGGGTGCGGGGGAGCCGCGCAGGGGTGTGGGCGTCCAGAGATGCACACGAGGAGGCGCAGCCTGGGCCATGGCTGGGGGAGGGCGGGCAGCAGGCAGTGGACAGGCTTATGGACAGCTGACTGTACATTAAACGCAGCCAGCAGCCCTCATATGCAGCCAGAGGGGGCTGTGAATCTCCCCTAGAGAGGCAGACACTGTGAGACACAACAGGGAGACTGCAGCCCACAGGCAGGTGGCACTCCGTCCAGATGCCATGGACCTGGGGATAGCCTCCCCCCCCCGGGGGGGGGGGGTTGGCCGGAGCTGGGGATACCTCAACACCACAGGGGCGGGGGCTACTCAACAAGAGGTGTGAGCTCCTCCCCGCCTCAGGATGACCCCGGGGAGGCGCCAAGTTGCCCCAGGTCTCCATGACCAGCAATTAGTGGTGATTAATGACCCACCTCTAGAGGCAGCCAGGGCTTCGCCAGCCAAGGGCAGCCAGGTCAAATGATCCAGCCGCCCACACCCCACCTCCTGGCTCAGCCTCCCAACCACAAAGCAGAGTGGGGCCCTGTTCTTACCCAGTGCGGGGCGCAGGCCACCAGGAGCATGTGTTTGGCTGCTGAGCCCTTAGAGGACAGGCAGTGACTGTCCCCTGCTCCAGGAGCCTCCAGCCCCCACTTGGAGAAAGCAGAGTTTGGCCAGCACCTCTCCCCTGACCCGGCCAAGGGTGGTGTTGAGAGTGACCACTTGGTGGAAGGCACCCGCCCTTAGAAGGCCCCACCCATCCGGTCCTGCATGGGGCCCTGAGCACTGGGGCTCGAAGGCTCCTGACCTGCCCTGCCCAATGGAGGGACTGAGTTTTCTTGGATCTCATTTCAAACAATTTCAGCGTCAACAGCTGCAGGGAGCTGGGCTGGACAGGGCTGCATGCTAAGACCCTCTCACAGGGACAGTCCCCAAGGAGAAAGCACTCGGCCCCTGCGTGCATGGCCTCCTGAGGCCAGCAGGGTGTCAGGCACAGGGGAAATGTCAACTGAGGGCCTGACCCACAAGACCTGGGAGGGGACAGCCAGAGGCCAGCTTCTTCTGCAAGAGAGCCCAAATTCTCTGCTTCCTGGCCATCTGGCCCCGTGATCACAGCCAGGGTCAACTCGGCTGGCCCTGAGAGGCCAAAGGCTGGAGGGGACCAGGGACTGCAGCTCCTGTGAAAAGGCCTCTGCCTGGGGTCCCGGGAGGCCAGATCTGTCACTGTACCCCAGCCCCTCCCACCTGCAGGCACCAGCCAGTTCAGACAACGAGAAACACCGAAAGGCTGAGGGGTAGAGCCAGACGTGGTACTGACCCCAGCCTTGGCACTGGGCAGTCACGGCATCCCAGACTGCATCCTCCGGGGTGCCAGAGGAAACAGCACCCCAGCACCTTAGACAAAATCCTGAGGGGTGAATCCATTCTTCCCAGGGCCCCTCCTCCCTGCAGCTGGACAGGACTGGATGGATGTGGATGGGACTCACCTCCTGCTCAGATAGGCCGTCAATGATCTCCGACACCTCGTGCTCGCTGCGGGCAGCCGACATGGAGAGCCCACTGCCCCGCTGCCCCACCCTGCTGGGGACCAAAGGGACACACTCAGGACCATCCCTTGCTTGCAGGAGAGCTGGGGCAGCACAGGGCACCTGGCACAGAGCCAAGCTCACACCCCAGCTCCACCTCGTCTCTGGAGGAAGTCCCAGTGCCTCCATTTCCTCCCTCGTAACTGGGAAAAAGATGTAACACCCCCACCGCCTGGGCACACGGTGCGACCCCAGCGAGCGGGAGGCAGAGGCAGGAGGGCCCCAGCCCGAGCCCCAGCTCACCTCTGCATGCGCTCCTGCAGCTCGCGCTGCTTGCGGATCTCGGGGAACTGCTTCTCGTAGTACTCGCGCACCTTGCTCTCCTTGGCACGGCGCCGCGGGTTGTTCTCGATGCGCTCCACTTTCTTCTCCCAAGCCTCCATGAGCTGGTCATAGCGCTGGCAGAACTTCTGCTCCTGAGGGGACACAGAGGCACTGAGGGGCGCGGGTACCCGAGCCAACCCTCCACCTGTTCCGGGGACGCAGGGACGCCTGGTACAGACAGGGTCACACGAGCGAACAGGACAGACGCAGGGCCGCTGGACCATGAAGCAACCCACGGCATCCCGAGGGGACGAGGCCACCTCCTTCATGGAAATGGCCACTTAATCCTGGCCTCTTCAGGGCCCTCACCCAGAGCAGAGGGAAGCATCACATGGAATCAAGAATTTGGGCTCAGCCAGGCCACACCTCCTTCTGCCTGTGCCCAACACAAGGCACTCTTCCCCAGGGTCTGCCTGCCACACAGCCTGGTACCCAGGTTGGCACCCAGGGACGGCACTGGCTACAGAGGACTCTGTCACCCCACCTCTGCCAGCCGCGGAAGGGTGGGGTATGAGGTCTCAGAGGCGCCCTCCAGGAATCAGAAGGCTCCTCTGATCCTGGGGTCTGCATGCCCCTGCCCTGGCTTTGCCTGCTTCTCTTCGTTTGATGGGTCTGGGGCAGAGCCAGAGCCCTGAGCATTCCCTTAAGCCCCGCACCGCCGGGCAGCCCCAAAAGGCAACTGGGCTCCTGACCAAGGGCACCTGTGGCCTCAGGTGGGCATCGACTCTGAGCTCGGGAGCACCTCGCCTGCTGAGAGGTTCAACCGGGCTGCAAAGCCACCCATGTTCCCAAGAGGGAGCCAGGCCTGCAGCCAGCCGCGTCTCCATCTCTCAGGCGCCAGCTTCCTGCCAGACCCACAGGGACCTTTTCAACTAATTTATTTTTATTTATTTTACATTTTGCAGCACTAGGGATTGAGCCCAGGGCTTCTGCATCGAGCACTGTCCCCCGCCCAGTTTTGTCCTTCTGAGACAGGGCCTCATGAAGTCACCCAGACTGGGGCCCCACTTGCAACCCTCTGCCTCGGCCTCTCCGCACAGCGACCTCAGGGGCACTACCACACTCAGCTCAATTTCTAAGAACCCAACCCCCTCACTCCACAGCCCCTAGTTCTGCTCAGCAGCCACACGGGTGCTGTGACATGTGACTGCCATCACTCCCCTCCCCCGCCCTCAGCCCCACAGGGACACTGGGGACTGGTGGCAGGGCTGAGATGGGAAGATCAGCTGTGAGCACCAAGCGTTCTCTTGTCGTAACGGAATACTCCTGTGTTCTTTATTGGCAATCAATACATCTCACTGTTCGGAGACTAAGGTCTAAGCGTGGCACCCCACGGAGGGACTGTGTCCCAAGGTGACCCAATCCGTGACTCCACGCCTGGCCCTGCCCTGAATCCGACCTGCCTGCAGAGCTGCACACAGCAGCCCACTTGCTGTGCCCTCCAGGGGCAGCTGTGAGCCCCCCGTGTAAAACCTGCTTCCTAGACTGGGGACCAGGCAGCCTTGGCCCCAACCTGGACCCCGGACTGTGTGGCACAGGACAAGTCACTCTGCCGTTCCCTGCCTCAGTTTCCCCTCTGGGCACGTGGCTGGGGAGCAGCCTGAGGCGGGTTGGCCCTGACCCTGGCTCAATGACTGCTTCTCTCCGTGATGCCTGCTCCACCCAGCTCAACTCAGCCAGCGTCCACTTCATCTCAGGCAGCACTTAGCTGGTACCAACTATACACCACAGACCAGCCTACACCAGGTAGGACTGAGCTGACAGCAGAGCCCAGCGTACCTAACTCTGAGTCAGGGTGCAGGGGCAGGGGAAGAGCGCAGGACTTCCTGGGCCTCACCCACCCCACTGTACCCCAGCAGCCTCTGGCTCCAAGGGTCCACGTCCCACCTGCACAGCCAGGGGGCCACACAGAGACACGCCTGTCATGAGTGCAGCTGAGGTCGCCAGACCCCTCAGGCGCCCCAGCCAGGCACAGGGAGGCCAAGTATGACAGCGAGTCCCAAACCCCGCCTGCAGGTTGGAGACGGCGCTTCTCCGGCCCCTGTTCTGACACCAGCCCAGGGCAGCTGCAGCCCCAGGGCCGCCCTGCCAAACTCACCCATTGCTTGCGCGCGTGGTTCCTCCGCTTGAAGTACAGGATCAGCTTCTTACGCATGGCCTGGTTTCTGGAGACAGTGGACAGGGGTCAGACGTCCCTGGCCTCGACCTCAGGGTACCCTGTCCTGCTGTGCTGGTGTTATGGTTTGTGTCTAGTTGTCCTCCCAAAGCCTCATGCAGTCATGGGGCCGACTTCTACAGTTTGAGATTAACTCATGATCCACTGGGATTATGGGTCTTAGTACTGCTGGGATTATGTGTGTGAGTGCTCCACCCAGCCTGAGGCGGACAGCCTGAATGCAACATTAAGAGAAAACAGAGAGACAGACTCCCTCTCTGTAGTCATTGTTGCTGTTACTCCTCCTTTCTGCTCTTGCTCTTTGCTGCCGCCATGAACAGCTGCCCTCTGCTGTGTGCCGCTCTGCCTTGGAGCCAGCTGAGCACGGACTGAAGCCTCCAGTGACTGTGAGCTAAATAAACCTTTCCTTCCTTCACTTTGGGTGTCGGGTATTTGTCCCAGCAACGAGAAAAGAGTAACTGAGACAGCTGGGGATGACACAGCAGAGAGAGGAGACCTGGGGATGGCAGGACCCTTAGAGCTGTGGCTCCAAGGGAGGGGCTGAGGGACAGGAAACAGAGGAGGGGGGAGGGGGCGGGAGTGAGAGGGTAATGGGGAGAGAAACTGGAGCCAGCAGGAGAGACGGGTGGGCTGGGCAGCAGGGCACAGCAGCACTTGGGGAGACCAGACTGATGGAGCAGGAAGTGCAAAGGGACACAGGTGGGACCCTGGGGACAGCGACGGGGACGAGCAGGGCACACACTGGCTCTGCACCAACTCTACTGCACACAGGGTGCCAGGTGTACCCAGGCACTGGAGAGATGCAGACAGCACACCCCAAACCAGCCGCACCCCCACCCAGCCACCGCCCACACACCTCATGGCATTCATACCCACAGAAGGCTCAGCAGCCAGCTGCCTGTGCCAGAAGGCTTCCTGCACAGGGCCCAGGGCCCAGAACCTCTATGTTGGGGACAGAAAAGTGGGACCTAGGCCCTGATGGGGAGTCCTGGATCACCAGAACCCCGTGCCGATGACACGGAACCTGGCCAAGTCTCAGGTGCACCCTCACTCGCTTCTCCACCCGCACAATGGAACCACAGACGCCACGCAGCCACGCCTTCACCAGCAGCCACTCCATGCGCCCACCACACAGACACACGGGGGAGCGGGGCAGGCCCGGTGAGGACTGCTCTGGATGAGGGAGCCAAGTGGGTGAGCAGGGTGGGGATGGAGCATATGGCACCTGAACCCTGCTGCTACAGGAAGCCTGAGGAGTCCAAGCTCACCACGGACAGCTCAGGACACCCAAAAGGAGGGGACCCAGCAGCGACACTGGGAGCGCAAAGGGCGGGGTAGGAGCAAACTCAGGGAAGCTGAGGTCCAGAGAGGGAAGGCTGTAGTGGCTGGGGGTCCTGGGAGGGGCAGAGGGACGTGGGACAGGCCATGTGCCAGGTGACTAGGCAGCTTTGTGGGCAATCGTGCATCCAGCAAAGATGTGAGTTTCAAAGGAAAGAGGCGGACGACCCAGAAGGCCTAGAAGGGGCCGGGGAGATGGCTCAGTGGAATAAGCGCTTCCCTGGCAAGCGCAAGGGCCTGAGTTCAATCCCCATTCGGGGAAAAAAAAAACAAACCCAATTCAGAAGGCCTAGAAGCAAGGACACCCGGGCCTGCGGGGGTGGGGGCTGGGGGAAGAGCTCCACGCGAGAAGTGCCAAGCTGCAGCCAGGCAAGCAGCAGTGAGCAGCACCAGCCTGGAAAAGCCGAAGAGTGAAAAGGCAAGCACCCTGCGGCCTGCAGAGGTCACTCAGCGACTGGGAGGATGGGTGGGTGAGGAGGCGCAGGCTCACAGAGGCAGTGAGCGCGGCCTGGACAGTCCTCCTCGGCCTCATGGTCCACACCACGCTTTGCTGTATTTGTCTTGTTCTTCCTGTACCACTAGAACTGAACTCAGGGCCTTCACTGAGCTACACCCTCAGCCCATTTTTTTTGTTTTTAATTTTGAAGCCTGGTCTCACTAAGTTAACTATCTAGGCTGGGCTGGAACCTTTGACTCTCCTGCCTCAGCCTCCCAGAATGCAGGGATGACAGCCATATGATACCACGCCTCGCATGGTGGGAGTTATCACTAGTGTCCTCACATCCTGCTCCTCCTCCTCTTCTTCCTCCTCCTCTTCCTCAAGCAGGGGCCCAACTGTCGCCCGCCCAGCTGCACTTGGGAACTCTATTCCTAAAAACACCACATATGGGCAGGCCAGATAGCTCAACAGATTAAAGCGCCCACTTAGGCAGACACAGGGACCAGGGTTCAATCCCCAGCATGCTGTGCCAGCCCTAACCTGGGGCGCACTAAGACAGTGACTGAGACTGGGCATGGTGGTGCATGCCTATAATCCCAGTGCTTGGGAGGCTGAACACAGGAGAACCACTATGAGTCTGATCTGTGTAGTGAGACCCTATACTAACACACACACACACACACACACACACACACACACACACACACAACCCAGCACACAGGGAAACAGCAAGGCGACCCGGACAGGGGGCTTCTGGCAGACACCCAGTGACCCTTGCCAGCCTCAAGGTGCAAGCTCAGATGGGACAGGCTGAGGGGCCTCACTTCCTCTGTGGTCTCCTGGAAGGCAGCACGAGAAAACGCCCGCCCGACCCACACAGGGCGCAGGTGAGCAGAGCGACGGGCCCACGAACAGCAGGACTGAGGGACAGTCCTGGGCAGAGGTGCGGGGCACGCAGGAAGCTGGGCTGCATCTCAGAGTAGAAAGAGACATCAATGGGAAAACCAGTGCCGACCCGGACACAGCAGGTGGCTGTGCTGAGTGATGGGGACCGCCTTCTCTCCCTTCCAATGATGAGCAAGCAGCCCATTCTGGGGCTGGGAAAGGCTGGGCCTGAAACTCTCTGTAACATCTCATGAGCTCTTAGCCTGCAAATCCACCTTATTTCTCAGGCAATCGGGTCAGCCTCCTGGAGGAAGGGGTTTGAGCAGAAGAGGGATGCGGGGAGATGGACTGCTAGTGTGCCAAATGGTGAGACCACCTGGGTCCCCAAGGGGTGGACAGGGATGGACTGCAGGTGAGGGCTGGCTGTGTTCCCCTGCGCAGCTCCTGGGGTTGCAGCAGACACCAGAGAACTGCTCAGCAAAGCCTGGACCCGCGACAGCAGAAAGACAGGGGCAGGAAGGGGCCAGCAGGCTGTAGGGAGCACAGGACCGAGGGTCTGTGGTCTGAAATCAGATGTCCTCTGGGGCTGCCTAGGCCTCCCCGCCCCCACCAAGGCCGGAGCCCAAACCTACAGCAGGTGACCCTGTGGAGCCAAGCCCGCACTGACACCAGAGTGGGTGGCAGAGGGTGAGCAGCGGGGGAGCACAGGTGACCACGGCACGTCCGTCCCCAACTGCCCAGGCAGCAGGAAGCCAAGCGTGAAATTAGCTCCACCTCAGCAGCCTGGCACGAAGACATGGGGATGACAGTGACGGGGCTGGGCCCGCGGGGACAACCTCCCGCTTCGTGGGGCGATCTGCTGTGCTCAGCACACTGGCTGTCATCCGTCACGTGCTAGCATCTGTCTCCCCTTCTGCAATGTCAGGCCGAGGTCACAGCCATGTCCCCAGGGCTTGTGCTGGCGCAGGTGGGAGCAGAGAGGTGGCCAGAGAGAGAGCATTTGCTGAAGGAACAAGGAGTCTGCCCTCTGTCTCTGGAAGGGCACAGACACTTCCAGACCAACACTCAGTAACCAAGGTCCCTGCAGTCCTGGGACATGCTGTCCCCACCTTGCAGGTGGGAAGATGAGGCACCAGGAGTGACCTGCCGCGGGCTCCTGGCTCAGGCCTCCACTCTGGGGCAAACCTGACAGCTACTGGGCTCCACAAAGGGCACAGCCAGGAGCGGCCAGGGCCCCACCCTGCTCCAGCCCCAAGGCCTCTGCCCTGCTTTTGCCCCTGCCCGCAGCTCTCCTGCCCTTGGCCAGTGGCAGCAGAGACCGCAGAGTCCCCTTGGCCTCACGCTGGCCCCAATTGCTCACACTGACCACCCTGCCTTCTCCTATCACCATCTTCCAACCTAAAATATTGCTTCCTCTGAGCCACAAAAGCTACCTAGAATTTTGGCCCAATAACATGGCTATCAGAAGTCTCGTCCTAGCTGGGTGTAGTGGTACCCTCTTCCTCCCAGCACTCTGGGAGGCTGAGGCAGGATGGTAACAAGTTCAAGCCCAGCCTGGGCAACGTAAGAGGCTTCACAAGACCCTGTCTCAAAACGAAAGATAAGAAAGTCTGGGGACAGCGCAGGACAAAGGCCTGGGTGCGACCCCCAGCACCACAGATGCGTAAGGGCACAGGTCACAGTGAAAATGCAACTAGGTCTGGTGAGTGACTCGGGCTTTAGGTGAGCTGCGGCTCCCTCTGTTACTTAGCATGTTTCTGTGATGAGGCACCAGACAGGACAGGGACACAAGGCTCTGATCTGTCCCAAGGCCTAAAACGCAGCCAGGCATGCAGTGGAACGGAGAGATGCATGAATGAATGCTAGGTGGGTGGGCAGTGAAGCCCTGAACAACTGCAGGGAGGTCAGCTGTCTGCAGGGGTGACAGCACTGATATGGGACACCCAGCTCCCTTGGGCCCCTGGGGCGCAAAGCCACGGGAACTCAGCACCCCACACCACCCCATCCTAAAACCCAGAGGATCTGCCTGGCCTGGGGGGCGTTCAGCAGTGCGCCCTGTCCATGCTGCCACTCCAGCCACACCTGGACTCACCGAGTCCCCCTGCCGAGTCACAGGTGAGCATCCAAGCTCTACCCCGACACACGCCACGAGCACGTAAGAGACCACAATCCTACAGACAGACACTGCTCTCCGACCTCACTGCCCACCGCCAGCTCAGCCACCAGGGCAAGGCCTGTGGCAGCTTTTACCTTTCAGGGTTCTGGATGGTGACATGAGGAAAGACCCCTCCACACGGCAGGAGGCCAGGCTCCCATTACTGCATCCTGAGGGAGAGCCAGGCCGCTCCAGCAGCCCCACAGCACCAACTGCCCCGAGCACAGCCTTGGGGCCCCCAAAGGTGTGTGGCACCTGACTTGACACCTGCCATCAGGGGTCTTGTCCTTGAGTCACACTGGGCTACCCACCCCCTCCCAGGCCCTTGTTCAGTGCTTCTTGCCACCCAAGCAGGCTGTGTGGACCCTGGGACCCATCAGAGCCCATGCACGTTCCTCGCCCAGGTCCTTCTGCCCATCCCCCAGGGAGCCTGGTGGCCCGCCCACCCTCCACACCCCAGCTCTGTACCCCGGCTGGCCACAGGGCTGTACTCACATCTTGATGTTCTCGTGGTACTGCCGGGTGTCCGAGGGCTGGTTGTACAGGGGCTGTGGGGCGGAGAGAATGTGAGTCAATGTGGCCACCTCCACCATCACCCAGGAGCCTGGCACCGCTCCCCAGCAGGGCTGCCCAGGGCAGGCCCAGGGCTCACAGTGGCACCCTGTGTGGAGACTGCTTCCTGGTCACCATGGAAACCAGGGCCCCAGCTTCGGAGATGTCCCTGCACCCAGACCCACAAGGAGGGACCATAGTGTTGTCAGATGGGGCCTGGTGGTAAGGCCAAAGACTCAGGAAGGCTCAGCACAGTCAGGGACACAGTCCGCAGGGAGGCCAGACCATGACCCGGGAAGACATACCGCAGCCCCTACCCATGCCAGAGCCTGGACACAAGCCTTGGACATACAGACCTCAGTTTCCCCACCTAGAGAATGGGCACAGGACAAAGAAGACCCACTTGCAGGGCCTCAGTAGCCCAGAACATGCCAGCCTTGGCGCCGACCACCCTGCTGTGTAGGGAACTCACCTCCCACACCGTTTAGTGTTGGGGAAAGAGGCAGGGACCTAGCAGGGTCCATGTGGGGCTCAGGGGAGAGGCTGGCTGGCCTCCGTTTCTTAGATAAAACACAACCTGAGGGGCTGGGAAGGGCTGCAAGGCCACAGCACACAAGCCCCAGAGCACATGACAAGCTCTAGTCCAGGGACGCACACTGCAAGTGGCAGAGGGCCCCTGGCCAGCCTCTGACCCATGACAACTGGAGAGCAGAGCTCCTCAGGTAAACTGAGGCAGGAGCAAATGAGGCTCTGGGAGCAGCATGGGAGCTCCCTGTCACCATGGCAACAGGCCTAGGGAAGAGAGGGGTGGGGCACATTGCCAAGGGGACGTCAAGGCCAAGGGGAGCCCCAGGACTCCCTCACCTTTTCCATAGGCTAGTGCCAGGCTATGGCTCCGAGGCGACCTCCAGGCCTCGGGGACCTGTGCCCTCCCAGGTACAGGAAGGACAGAAGATACTGACTCTACACCAGGCAGGGGATGCACGGCACACTAGGCAGAAGTGATGTGGTGCAGCTCGGAAAGAGTGAGGTTCTGGGAAGCAGGTGGGGTCCCCTGAGGGCCTGGCTCCTGACCAGTGTGGGGCACGACTGAGAAGGATGAGGAATGGGGGCTGTCCCCAGGCTGCACAGCTCCTAGTTGGAGTGTCACCCAGCCTTCACCCCACTGGTGACACCAACTGCTTAAAATAACCCTCCGATCAGGAAGGAAGCCGTGACTCAGAGCAGCACGGTGGCCTCCGCCTCCCTCGCCACTGCCCTGGCCAGCCTGGACCAAGGGCTCAGGGACCCAGCTCTGAAGCCCACACCACCTCCCGGGCATCACAGAACACCAGGGTCCCTGGTCACACCCAGAGCTGTCACAGGAGAGACCCCACGAACTGGTTCCTGATGCTGGAACATAGCAACCACAGCCCCAGGACAGCCACTGGGAGACACCACCCGCCGCCAGGCCTGGCCAGCTCCATGGACCCTGCCCCTCGCCTGCTGCATGGCCTGGGCAGGGCACTGCCGTCTTGGAGCCTCAGGCCGCAAGGGGACATGAGGACACCACAGCGCAGGGCCCTGCCTCCACCCCAGGCCACTAAGCCAAGCCTGTGGACACAAAGAGCACCAGCGCTGTGCTCTCAGCCTCCACATGGCCTCGCCCCTCAGGCTTGGTGAGGGGGTGGGGACAGCGAACAAGGGAGACGGGCACCGTCCCCACTAGGACCCATGGACACCCCAGGCCAAAGCCTCTGGGACCAGGGGACACTGTCGGTCCTGTCCCTCCCTCCCTGCTTGCAAGCTTGGGCCTGTGTCTTCCCCAGGAACGGGCAGAGGGATTCCCCCAGGAGGCACCTCGATCCTGCCTTCCCTGTTTGGCAAAAAGGTAAACCGAGGCAGGACACAGCTTACAGGTGGGCCTTAAAATGGTGCAAACCAGTTGTACCATAAGCACAGAACAGCCTGGGTCTGAGGACAGAGGACTATCACCCCATGGCACCCCATGGGCACCAGAAACACAACAGGCGAGTAGCTTGGCCAGCACCGTCCCTGCAGGGTCCTCACTCAATGCTGTGCTAAAATGAACCTCTCTTGGGGCCGTGGAGATGGCTCAGTAGAATAAGCGCTTCCCTGGCAAGTGCAAGGGTCTGAGTTCAATCCCTGGTTCCGGAAAAATAAAATAAATGAGCCTCTCTGCGACCCGCTGCCCTGAGCCCTACGTGGCCCAAGACTCGACCGTCTCCCGGAGCCAAGCACAGTGCTCACCAGGCACCAGTCGCCATCACCTGCCCCCATGGCAGCCACCCCAGTCCTCTCCACCACCATCATCCCATGCTGCATCCGGGGCCTGGGGACCCCAAAGGGACGACAGCAGCTTCTGCTTCTCCATGCATGGGCCGGCTCCTTCCCATCTGGAGGTGAGACCAACACCCGTGACTGCAGTGCAGCTGACAGCCACAGGCAGACACGGTCCCTGCACTGGAAGACTCAGCACTGAGTCTGCACTGTCCCAGCCAGACCAGTGCGACTGGCCCAGCTTCGCGGCCAAGGCAGCTGAAGCACAGGGAGCTGGGGGGGAGACCTGCTCAGGGCCACACGGCCATGTGGAGGCAGATCTGGGAGCTGAATCTAGCCCAGCCCTCTGTTGGGAGGAAGGGGTCTTCACGCCTAGCTGGATCTCCGTGTGTGGGCCGGTGGCCCAGGACCTGCAGCCTCCCCTGCTAACACCCAGGCCTCTTATCAGGAGACTGCACTTCCTGCCTCCTCACTGAGACTGCCCAGGCAGGGGACAACTTCCTGCTCCTCTTCCTCCTCCCTACCCCCGTGCCCCCCACACCCAGTGCCCAACTCACCAGCTCCACCTGGGGCCCCAGGCCCTCCAGAATCCGATGGGCTGCCTCCGCCTTCTTCTGCGGTGACCAAGAAAACACGGGAAGATTAGAAATGGGGCATCCCAGTCACTGGTGGGGGAATGGTACATAGCACCCCCCCACCCTGGCCACACAAACAGGGGCCCTGGCTCCCCTCCGTGCCCCTGGAAAGCCCACTGGGGTCGGTGTCCCCAGTGTGTCTGGCTCACCACCCCCAGGCCCCAGGCTGGGATGAGGACGCAGCTCCCAGGGGAGCAGCTGGGCATGTGTGGCGGCCTCAGAGCTGCAGGGGTGAGGGAGGAAGGGGAGGAGGGGGAGGAGGGGCGACGGGCGACAGGCTCGCTAGCCTCCCTGCGTTTCACAATCATGGGATTCTTTCCACTGCTGCAGTCTCCCCAGGCGCGACCCAGGACTTATTGGGAAGACAGCCACGTGCGGCAGAAAGGACTCCCTACACGCATTCAACAGGCCGGACCTCGGGCCCCACAGGGCCCTGAGCCATGAAGGCGACATTGTGCCCGCATGGCACCAGCACCAGCCTGGGACAGCGTCTGCTCCGGGCGGGAGGTGGGATGGGAGGACGGAGGGACAGAGACACGCCGTGCCCACCTGACGCTGGCTGCCTAGGGTCCTCACGCTCATGCTGGGCATATGCGCAGACAAGGGACACCTGCCCTGGGACACAGCCACCCCGGTCCCGAAGACACAGACCAGTGACCACTATCCCACGGCAAGGATGGCCAAGCCCTGGGAAGGCATCCGCCTCACGGGAGCACATCACCAGGCAGATCTGAGCGCACCCCATTTTGCAGACAGTGAAACCAGGGCACAGAGAGATGGGGTGAGGGACAAGGGGGCCCCCTTTTGGCTGCAGGCTGCAAGAAGACTTTGATAGCCACCTCCACCCCTCTCAGGCTGATCCACACATGCATGTGTGCACACACAGGAGCAAATGTGCATCCTCAGCATGCTCAGGACGGCCGGCCCTGCTGACTCAGGCCTGCAGGAACCTCAATCCCCACTGAGGGGAATGGCCTCTGCCCAGTGCCTGTTCCTCCAGACGGCCACAGTCCTGCCTCCTGCCCTGCGCTCTCATGTGGCCCTGGCGACAGCCGCCCCTGACTGCCTGGCCTTCACCTCGAGGCCTGCACAGCCTCCACCTCCTGCCTCGCTGCCCTAGAGATCAAGGACGTCTGTCCCCCCCGCCCCCTGCTCCTGGCCTCCACGCATGCCTTGACCTCCCAGAACTCCTGGCCACCTGGCTCCCTTCCCGGTGCCAGGCCCCTGGGTCAGGCTGGCAGCTCAGCTCACGCTGCCATCTGTGTGCACCTGCACCGCCTGCACGGTAGCCCGAAGGCAAGCGCGCCTGGCACAGTGGGGCTGCACACACTCCTTGGAATGGAGAATGAGCTGGCGTGCAGGAGGGAGGCAGCCCTGCCCAACAGGAGACTGCATCTCCCCGCTCCCCGCTCACACACCGCCCTCCTGCAGGAAGTGGCGGGGAAAGAGGAGGATTAAAATTTAATCCTACTGATCCCCCAAGGGGCTCTCAGTCCTGGCTGCTCCTGCTACAGGCAGCCAAGGGCCCCCCCGCTGCCAGGCGCCAGCTTCTGAGGCTCAGCCTGGGCAGGGGACACCTGAGCCCCACACCCCCAAACAGAGGGCTCTCAGGTGGGACCAGCCATATCCGCCCCCCCCTCCACTGCCCTTGCAGTTGCTCTAAGATCCTTCCAGAGGGCCCCTTCAGACTGCAGGGGACCCAGGGCTTTGGATTCAGCCAGGGGTAATACAGCCAAAGACACTACCCTTGGGGACCTTCCAGCCCTCACCATCAGCGGAATAAACAGGCATTGGGGCCAAGGGAAACCGGAGAGCCAGAAGGGGGCGCCCTGGACCTGTGGGACAGCGGCTGGAGACAGCCATACCTGCTCTCCCACCCAGGTGCAAGGCCTCTCCAAGTGCTCTTTTGTGTCACCTGCACTAGGGCCTTGTCCTCTCTGAGCCCCGACTGCCAGAGGGGAAAAACAGAACAAACGCACCTGCTTCACTAGAGTCTATGCTGATGGGGCTGACAGAAGCTGAGAAAAGTGAGGCTCTAATACGAGCAGAAAACCCGGATGGGACCTCCCCAGTGAGCTCTTCCTTGGGGCCTGGTGCTGGCCAGGAGCCCACTTGTCCTCAGCCCGAGCATGCAGACATGGGCTCCTGTCTCCATCCTTCTAGCCAGGAAGGTAACGTTTCCTGCCTCCTCTCCTGTCCCTGAGACTACAATCGGTGGGGGGCGGGGCTCCCAGGGTCCTGGGCAGCCGAGGCCCTCGTGCTCACCCCACTCGCTCTGAGCGCCAACCCTACCAGGAACCCCAAGAAGGGGTGGTGGGGAAGGAACACCTTCTGAGAAGGGGCCGGTGGAGACCACTACTGGAGAACCAGGCCCCACACACTGCGGACACCCGGCGGGTTGGCCCCGAGCAGGTCACTCAATCTTTTTGGGCTTCAGTTCCTCTGTGTATAAAACAGAAACAACCAGGGAACCTACTTTCGTGTCAGTGCTACGTGCAGGATGGACAGAAAGGGGCTGAGCCACGGTGGGCCACTATGCTGTTGCAATACCCTGGTGGACCATGGGCCAAGAGGGCACATGGTAACAGCTCCCAGAATGCCCGCCTGTGCCCTCAGCCAATGCTGGCCTTCAGGCGGGAGGGGGCCAGGCTCCCACTGCACAGTGGCAACACGGGCGCACAGGCGGTCGTGTGGTGCCTGCCCGGGAGACGGAGGAGGCTGCCTGGTGCAGACAGGGACGTACCCGGTTTTCATCGTAGATGATCTGTACCAAGCTGCGGTGCTTTGACTCGATGGGCGGCGGCGACACCGGCTTCTCGGGCTCAGGAGGCTTGGCAGCCTCCTCCTCAAGCTGTTGCTGTGGAAGGGGACAGTGGCAGGTGAGCCTCGCCCTTGGGTGGGAGAGAGGCACAGCCAGCCCTCGGCCATCCCACAGTCATCGCAGGATGTCAGGCTGCTCCTGCGTCCTCTAAGTCGCCCGGGGCTCCACATCTGCGGAGGGAGGCTTGTCCCAGCAGCCGTTCCTCAGATGGCACCCTGGGCTGAGGCACAATGGAGCAGGAGGACTCTCACGGGCCCTGTCGTCCCTGATGGCAGGGGCTGCAACACCCACGTGTGCAGGACACTGGGCCAGGACACAGGAGGCAGGCCACTCTCGTCCACTGCAATGCCCACAAGTGCCATGGTATGGGGAAGGGCTGCAGACGTGGGACCCCCAATCATCCTCACTCACTGTGCTGCCTTGGGAAGTTGCCGAGTTTCCCGAGCCCCTCTCCCTCACCTGGAAGTGTGGGCCATGAAGGCCTTTACCCTGGTGACGGCCGAAGGAGCTAATGCCAACGCGTACCCCCAGCAGCACAGGCTCAGCCCCACGGACAACGCTGCCTGTCCTCGAGACTGCCGTCACCATCCCTGCCGTCACTACCACCACCATCCACCCTGCCATCTCCACCCTGGGCACCCTTCCTTAAACACCTCAGACAGGACATTCCCCATGCAGCCATCTGCTTTGTACCAAAAGAGAAAGCCAAGACCGGAGAACAGAGGCACCGGTCCGGGGCCACACGGAAGTGACAGCAGAACACAGTTCTACCTGCCTGCAAGGCGCACACACGCTGGGCGTAACAGGGACAGAGCATTATGAGCCTCAAAAGGCAGCCAAGAGGAGCTAGTCCAGCGCAGGACTGTCTCAGCCCCACAGCGACCCCTCGTGGGGGCTGCAGTCGCCTCTGCAGGCTCCCCTGGGGCAAAGGGCAGGAACCGAGTAGCACAGCCGAGTGTGCAGGAAGGGGCCTCCTGTATGGAGAGCCCGCCAAGAGGACCGCTGCGCTGCGCTCCACTCCACGGGAACACAGACCTCACTGCACCCCTCACTGCTGCTCTGGGCCCTGGGTCTCCTTCTGTGAACCCAGGAGGGAGGAAAGGCGCCCCTCCCCCAGAGGAGGGCAGGAGGCAGACTGCTCACCAAGTCGGCCACCAAAGAGCCGAGCAGCCGCCACAGCAGCTGGGACCAGAACTTTGTTTAAAAAGAAAATAACAGGCATTGGGCAAGAATGTGGAAAAGCTGGAGCCGTCAGACGTCGCTGGGAGGCTGTAAAAATGGGGCAACCGCAATGGAAGAGAGCCTGGAAATTCCTCGGCGTGGAGCTCCGTGTGGCCCAGCAATTCCCTGTCCACACCCGAGAGCGCAGCACGTCATCCAAACACACACTGAGAACGTGTGATTCCAGCACCAGCAGCCACAGGGCGGAAGCGGTGCCTCGTCTATGCAGAGGTGGGTGGATAAACAGCATCCCACCATGGGATGTCCCTCAGCCACAAGGAGGGCAGTGCTGGCCTGGAAGGCAGAGACCCGGCTTCCATCCCCAACACCACAGACAAGGACGGCAGGGAGGGACAAAGTCCTCACACTGTCTCGGTGCAGACAGTCCCAGTTGGATTTCTGCCAAGGAAGAACAGGTACAGGGGCCACCTGTGTGACCCCCCCACCAGACGACAGGGGACCGAGAGCAGCTAGGGTCTGGGAGGGACAGCAGAGACTGCGGACAGCCTGGTGCTTCCCACAGGGCACTGCATGGCACCTTCAACAGGCCAAAACCCCACCAAATCCTACACTCTGAAGACCAATGCTCTACTTGGGAACTTTAGTTCCAAGCACCGGCAGCAGAGTACAGGAGACACTCTACTCTCCCAGTGGGGCACCCCTCCCTTGGGGTGCTACCTGCACGCCAGGCCTGGGGAAGCAGAGCACTAGGGGGCCGGATGACTCCAATCCATGCCTGGCCTCTCTTGGGACATGTGAGCCACCATCCTGGAAAGCCCCCTGCCACCGAGGTCTACGGCTGCTGCTGGGCCAGCTTTGCCCCGCGTGCCCTCAACACCCATCTGCCCGCCAGCTCTGCCTGGGGCCATGTGTGCTACCCTCCTCCTTTGTGCGAGAGGACGGGCCGCTGCCCTCCCCTCATCCACATACTGCTGGGGCACAAAGCAGGACACACAGTGACTCAGCCAAATGGGTGACAGATCTAGCACGTCAGCGGAGTTCCTGCAAAGGCCCCGGCTTCGTGGCCATATGGTCTCTGCTGGATGGCCGCACACACCATGTACACAAGGAGCAAGGAGAGGCCAAGTGCCAATAAAACTTCATAAACACTGCCACAGGCCAGGTGTAGCTCCACCAGCTTAGCCCAGGGGACAGTGGCTGACTAGGGACATAGCTCCTGTAACGACCAAGACATCCTCTCTGCAGGAGGCCACTGGAGCAGAGACCCAAAGATGCCAGGGAGGGAATCCCAGCAGCGCTGGGCAAAGTGGCAAAGTCAGATCATCAACTAATTTTGTACTGAAGAAGCTATAAATGAGTATTATCATCATCACAGCCAGGCACGGTGGCACACGCCTTTAGTCTGAGCTCCTCACAAAGCCAAAACAGTAGGATCCCTGAGTTCAAGGCTAGCCTGGGCTGCAAAACGAGACCTTTGTCTCAAAAAAAAAAAAAAAAAAAAAAAAAAAAAAAAAAAACGCATGCAAAGACATGTTCCTTACACGGCTTTGTTTGGTTTCAACTGTGACACTGGGATTTTTGTTTCCAATCTGAGGATCTCAATTCCTCATTAAAACCCTGGAAAGATGTCACACACGCCCTACACACCAGGAGACAAAGGCTCCCCAAAATTGAGTTCCCTGAAGGAAACTATACAATTCGCATTTATTTTATTTTATTTTATTTTATTTATTTTGCATTTGGTACAGGGTCTCACTGTGCAGCTCGGACTCACAGCGATCCTCCTGTTTTCAGCCTCCCCAGCGCTGGGATCACAGGTGTGCGCTACCAAAGTTTCAGGGGCCAGCTCAGCTCAGCTGGTGCACAGGGCCGGCGCAACACATGGTGCTGAGATCGAAGCTCAGTCCCTGAGCTTGCCTAAGCAGGCACTCGGCCCACTGAGCTGTCTCTCCGGCCCTACAGACTACATTTAAGTTGTTCTCCTTTCTTTCTTTTCGTTTTTCTGTTTCTGAGACAGGGTCTTGCTATGCAGTTCAGACTGAACTCACTCTGCAGCCCAGGCTGGCCTCTAGCTCGAGACAACCCTCCCGCCTCGGCCTCCCGAGTGCCAGCATCACAGGCATGCGTGCCCAGCTGACCACACAGTGGCCTTTGGCAGGTCTCCTGTGCTGGAGGCTCAGGTGGTCACTGCACTGGGGACAGCTCGGGCGGGGGCTGTGCCGGGGGGGTGTGCTCAGCTCACACCCTGGCCTCATGAATGTCACATAGGCACGCAAGCCCACTCGCCCCGATCGAGGGGTGTCTGTGCATCTGTGACCCCCGTTCCCAGTGTCACCTCACGGTTAGCACCACTGGTGACTTGGAGGAGCTGGTCCCCACCTCTGAGCCCACCACACCTGCTTCTTCTTCAGCTTGGAGATCTGCTGCTCCACCATGGTGATCTCGCGGTCCACACGGTCCATATTCTGGATTAGTTCCTCCTTGGACAGCCGCGGGGGCACTAGCTCTAGCTCGGCATCCGCATGTGGGGGGCTGGGCGGCGACACAGGCTCCAGCTTGCCCGCCAGGCTGCGGTCCTGAGGGGACAGGGGACAGGGGACACTTGGTCAGCCAGGGTGCCTGGCATACCCCGGCTTTGGCCTGACCCTCAGCGCAGCTCCTGTGTGGGACAGTCCCCGCCCTGCCCGGTCACCCCAAGGCCCTCCCCACCCCCACCCCTGCTCCAGCATCTTTCCAGGCAGCACATGCCTGCCCTCTGCATACCCCAACTTCCACATCCTTCTGGGAGCCCACACCCCCCAGAATGGGAATGTCACCTCTCACAGGCCCAGCCTCCAGAGAGACCTTCCTGACATGCAGTCCACCTGAGCAAGTTCCAGGACCCGAGGTGGCACAAGCCATCAGAGGGGCTGCACACAAGACAGCCCTGAGGGGCCAGGAGAGGGCCAGGAGCCACGAGGCCCACAAGAACACTGAGACGACTACTTTCTCTTTCACCCTTAATTTTTTTATTTATAATTTCTGTCTGCTACCTGGGAATAAATCCAGCACCTTCACCTTTTCTTTATGCTTTTATTTCCGGCAGGGGTCTCACTAAGCCACAAACTGCCCCCAGGCTCGGCTCAATCTTGTGATACTCCCGCCTCAGCCTCCCAAGGTGCTCAAACGAGGGTGATTATTCAAGGATGTCCCTGTATCCCCTGCTGGGCCAAGCTGCACAGGGATCTGGGGGGAGGAGGCTGGCATACAGCCCAGGCCCCAGTCACAGCCCTGTGGGCCCATGCAGACACTGGCTGCCCGCTTCAGCCACCCCTTTCTCTCTGGGCACAGTGACGGCACCACCTCCCCGGTGCCTGGGAGTCACACAGGTAAGCTCCCTCAACCGAGGTGAGGATGTGTTGCCCACGCCTGGCTCGGCACAGTGGCAAGGCCATGCCATTCCCACCCGGGCACAAGGCTAAGGGGGCAGCTGCTGGCCTAGGGGTCGGACAGAGCCAGGCTGCGCCCTGGCTGGCTGCGCAGCTGCCCCCAGGACAGGACACAAAGGGGCTTTCTTCCCAGATGGCTGCAGCGCACAGCAGGGCTTCCCCAGCCTGGCACCCGGGCCCTGGGACCCGCCTGGTTGGCCTCCATCCCCTGTGGCCATCTGAGACAGGGACACAGCAGATGCCCAGGTCTCCTGCCATACGGGACCCTCCAAGGAATGTCTCAGGGTCCTCACAACAGAAGATAGCAGGGAGCACTGTCCCTGGAGCTGGGTCACCCTGGGCAGGGCAGGCAGGGCAGGCCCACACCCCTTTCTGGTTCTTGCCCAAGGCCAGTGGAGATGAACAGGGGATGAGGATGAGGGCTTCAGGGCCAGGCACCCCAAATCTCGAGCAAACCGCTTGCCCAACCCAGCGTGGCTCTCAGAAGCAGCATCTCTTACCCGGGCCAGCCAGGGGCTGTTACCAGCCAACACCAGAAAAGCACCAGACCTGGTTCGCTCCCCAGGCCCTCACCAATCAAAGCCCTGACAGAACAAGGTTCCTGACAGAACACTGGCCACTGTGGAAAGGGATGGAGCACAGACACAGGGGCCAGGCCCCCCCAAACAACACTGAAACAGCAGCCAGGCAGCATGCACCCCTGAGGAGCCAACGTCCCTGGGGACCTAGGCAGGGCGGCAGCCAGGCAGGGACAGTGGCAAGGGGCGAGTCCCCATGTACTGCAACTCCTCCTCCCAGGTCACGGGGACAGGTTGGCACCAGATGGGAGGGGCTCGCCGCAGCACCCTGAATGGCCCAGGGCCCGACTCCACTCAGGCACTTCTAGGCCACAGGACCCTCACTGTGCAGTAGGGAGAGCATTCCCTGCCACCAGTGCCCCGACTGCTGGCCCTTCTGTTACGGATACCCATCACTAAGCTGTGGTCAGATGCCAGTTTCCAGGTTGGATGCCCTGTGACAAAATTTCTGAGCAGGGCTGGGGAGACAGCACAGCGTTCTAAGCACTTCCCTGGCAAGCACAAGGACTTGGGTTCAATCCCAAGTATGGCATGCGGTGCCAGCCCTGAAACCCCAAGCACACTGTGGGGGCCTTGAAACCGGGCATGGTGGCGCATGCATGTAATCCCAGCACTGGAGAGATAGAACGATCACTACGATTCCAAGCTGCGATCACTACGATTCCAAGCTGTGTAGCGAGACCTTGTACCAGATAAAATTAAAAAAAAAAACCTGAAGTGCAACACTGATGGCTACTGATGGCTATGAATAAGACAAAAAGTCGTTACCCAAAATTAAAGCCACAAAAGCCCCCTGGGGTGTGGCAGAAAAGAGCTCTATTTCCGCAGGCCTCAAAACTTGGAGGAGGAAACCTTGGGTCACAAGCTGCCGACAGGTTAGCACACCAGGCCCACTCCCACCACGAGGGTGGGCCTCAGCACAGCCAGTGAAGGGCAGAGATGGGGTCCCGGCGACATCACATCACCTGGATCATGCTCTACCCAAAGCCAAGAACCCTGGACCCCAAGCCTGTGCTTCTGCCAATGAGGCAGGGGCTGCCATTCAGGGACTTTCAGAGGTGGCACTGCAGGTGACTTTAAGATCCCCTAGCATGCCACCAACCCGGGAGGGTTGTGCAAGCTTGGGACAGGAGCGTCTCAGCCTCACATTGGCACAGGCTGAAGCAGTAATAGCGCCCATCCTGGCAACCCCAGGGGAGTGGCAGGACAGAGAAGGGCAGAGGCGGCAGACACAGGAGGAGACATTGGCGGAGAGACACAGGAGCAAGCCAAGGGGACGAGAGCTGAGAGGGAGGAGAAAGGCAGCAGAAGACACACAGCATGGCTGTGGAACAGATGCCTTGAGCCACAGACCAGGGCTCGGCCACTCTGGGGGGAGAGCTGGCAGCAGGGACATCCAGCCCCAAACCACATGCTTCATTTACCTACACTCCTAGGTCCCAGTTCTCCCTTCTGGGACAGCAGTTAGAGTCCAGGGCCTGGGCCCCCGGCAGCATCCCCACCACCAGCCAGCATGCAGGGACAGTGTGTGGAGGTGACAGGTGGCAGGCCTTAGCCACTTGGTGAGGTGGGCAGGAAAGTGTGCCCACTGCGGGAAGGGTGACTGTCCCACCAGGGAGCACAGCCAGGAATGGCCTGAGCAGCAGGCACCCAGGGCTTGAGGAGGCGTAAGGAGTCTCTCTCGAAGAGTCTCTCTCCGGTTGGCCAATAGTTCACTGGATTAAAGTGCCTGCTTAGGCAGATGCAGGGGCCCAGGGGCTGGGGGTTCAATCCCTGGCCTGCTGTGCTCGCCCCGCCCCCAGGGCGAGCTGAGCTAGCGATTGAGACTGGTGGTGATGGTATGCACGCCTGTAATCCCAGTGCTTGGGAGGCTGAAAATAGAAGCATCACCACAAGTCCGATCTACATAGTGAGACCCCGAGACCCTGTACTAAATATGTTTAAAAAAAAAAAAAAAAGGTCTCTCTGGGAGGATGCTGACCCCCCTCTTGCAGTGGCCTGTGGCGGAGGGGGCAGGGCTACCCATGCTTTATAGAGGATCAAGGAAAGGCAGGAGCAAGGAGGTGGACAGAAAGCTACTGCCATGGTCCAGGAAAGCAAGGTCGGGGGCCCAGGACCACTGAGACCAGACGGAAGGCAGTGACTAGCGCAGGGAGTGTGTGAAAAGCAGACGTGTGGGATCCCAGGACAGATTGCGCAGGGTGCGAGGAGAGAAGGGCCCTGAGCAGCAAAATGGGAGGCCAAGAGCCAGGCTTGGACTCAGCATAGGCCCGGGACCTCCAGCACCCAGGAGCAGAGCCAGGTGCAGGCAGCAGGACGCCATCCCTCCTCCTTGCAGGACACCACTGCGCCTCCCACCCTCCAGCACCATACACTTTTGGGGCCAGAGCCCAGGGACCAGCACTGGCCTCTATGCAAGGCTTAAGGAGCCACCAGGGCCCAGTCCCATCCAAGCAGCGACCCAGCCCCAACACGGCACACGTGAGCAGAGACCCAGGGCCGCACATGTCCATCAGACCCCAGCTGCCCCCAGGGGAGCTCAGCCTGCACCACCTCTCGATGCCAGGCCACACCCACCCATGCTCCGCCCTATGCTCTGCTTCTGTCTAAGGGACCCCACTCCCCACTCCCGCTCCCTGCTCCCACCTTAGTGAGGTCCTCGGAAGCACAGGGCTGTCCCGCAGCCAGCAGGGGCGATGGGCGCAGCAGAGGGTCAGGCATCAGCTCCAGGCGTGGCCGCTTGCTCTCCATGAACTCTAGGTCGGCCTTGCCCAGCTCAGGCAGGTAGGAGTGGGACTCGGGCCTCAGATGCAGTTCCTGGGACCTGCAGAGGGGCCGGGCACACAGTGGTGTCACACAGGGAGAAATGGTCTTGAGACCTGGGACCCCCAGTTGTCCTCCACCAGCACCACCAGGGCCCCAAATAGCTGACTTCAGGAGGGGTGATGGGCGCCAAGGGCAGGGACAAGAAGGTGTCATCATGCCAGAGCTAGCAGGAAGCACCCACAGGGACAGTGGGATCCCAGAAGCAGCCTCAAGGGCAGGAAGAAGGCCAGCCTCTGCCCCACCAGACCTCTTGCATCTTCAAAGACAGTCAAGTGACAGACACCATGTCCTGCCCACTGCCCAGCCAGACATCACTAGCTGATCACCATGCTTTCTCACGCTGTGAGACCGGGCCTGGTGCCTTCTCGGTTCAGCCAGCAGCCCTGATGAGTACATCCAGGCTCATCGCACCCAACCTGCTTGCTCTCCTGTCAGCTGGCCTGGAAAGGGCAGGGCCCTGCCTGACACACCCTGCTGCACCAGAGGGGCCTCTACACCCCAAGCTCCAGTCCACTCCAGAACGTGGGATGCTCTGAGCACAACTCCAACACTCCGCCCTCAACAGCCCTCTGGCCCCACTCCCGGCCACCACATCCCTGCCCCAAGGCCTTTTCCCATGTCAGGACTAAAACATCAGCTCTTTCTGGGAGCCTGGCCCCCGGCCTCAGCAATGCTCCGGCCTTGGAGACAGACACCGCGGTCTAAGCCTCCCAAGACTGCAAACCAGATGTCCCCCTCTTCCCCTGAGCTGCGCTTGTTGGATGCTATGTCCCAGCCACAAAAAGCTGGCCAGCACACGTCCCACACCTCCGCTGTCCCCAGTACAGGTCATCCTCCACGTTTCTGCTCAACCTTCTCTGGCTTAGATGAGGGAGCAAGGCTGTTGGGGCCCAGGGCAGGTGGCAGCGTGCTCCCGGCTAGCTGGAGGAAGGACAGTGGGAGTGAGGAGGGCCTGTGTGCACCACCCCCTCAGCCTCCCTTTCCCCACATGCCGAGGACACTGCCGTGGCCACCTTACCGTTCATTCCCCGGCTGGAACTCGGACAGCAGCGAGGGCCTCCGCCGCTGGGGCTGGATGATTGAGCCGGGTGACAGGTGAGAGGTGTAGTCCCGAGGGTGGTGCTGGTACTCGAGCAGCCCCACGTCCTGGGGGGGAAGCAGGCGTGAGAGCAGGCTCAGAGGAACCTTCCCTACGAGGGACTGAGTTCCGAACAGAGTGCGTAGTTTGGGAGCCACCGGCCCGGCTAGGGAGCACTGGCTTTACCAGCGCAGCACCTGTCCCTGCCCTCAGCCTCGCTGCCGGCCGCTCCACCACGCCAGGACGAGGCTGCTCTGGCAGGGCCACAGCAAGAATCCCACCAGGCCTGCGAAGGACCGCATCGCTCCGCCAGGGCCTTCTGCACCTGGGCTCTGCAGCTGGGACCAGGGCCTCGCACACCTTGGGCGAGCGCGGGCCACCGAGCCACAGTGACACAGTGTGAGCTCTGCCGCCCACTGAGATGGCCCTGACGAGGGTCTCACGCACCCAAGCTCCTCCCTTCGCAGCTGGACAAGTGGGCGGCCCTGACCAGTGTGGAGAAAATGTTCCAGTTTTTATTTTTCCATGGTATTTTACTTTATTTTGGGGGGTTACATCTTGTCTTATCGGCACATCCTGGATACACCCAGTGCCTGTCCGTCACGGCATCTGCACCCGCATGCGACACGCTCGCCACTGCCCCCCCCAGCCGCTCCTCCTTCTGGTCTCATTTTGTTTACTTTTCCCCTCCCTCCTTTCTCCCTCCCTCTCCCTTGTTCCCATTCTCATTTGAACATTTTCTTCCCATTTCCAAACACGTAGCACACGTTTTGGGCCTTATTTACTCTTCCGGTTTCTCACAACGGAGATGCGGTGCGGTCTTTGAACGCGCATGCGGCGGCTCATTTCACTCACGAGCGTGGTCCCACGGTGCACCCACTTAGTTTATTCTCCATGATGTGCCACTGTATAAGGAAACCACATCTTCCCATCTTCTGTATCTACTCATCAACAGATGGGCATCGGAGCTGTTGCCAAGATTCAGCTAATAAAAACGGTGCCACTGTCAACATGGGTGTGCATGTGCCACTGTGGCATCATGATGCTTTCAGCTCCTTTGGGAATACACCCAGAAGGGAGAACAGCTCAGTCGAACACAACCTCTAGTTTTAGGTTTTTGAAGATTGGAGACGATACTTTTATTAAAAAAAAAGCCTCCCAACAAGAACATAAACACTGGCTTCCTCGGTGTACCAGCACCAATTGATTAGTTCTGTCTGCCTGGAACACTGGGTTCTGCTGTGTGGGGCAAGCAATTAGTGATGTCTGACACTGGCAGGGCTGCAGGAAGGTGGGAAGGCAGATGACTCAAGTTTCCTCTTGGGACAGCTTCCTGATGTTTTGCTGCTCAGGGTTTTGTTTTTCAGAGCTATAATTTTCCCAATTTTCTGTAAAAATCTTGCCATTCTTTTGTTGTCTGGCTTTTTATTTAAGAGGAAAGAGAACCAAGTTGACACCAGGTAGGAGCAGAGAGAATAGATTTGTTTCAGATCCAGCGGAACATGTGTGGTGGAGGTGGACCTCAGGAGGCACCCGCTGGTCCCCATTCTCAGACCTCAGCGTCCTTGGCTGTGAACTGGGCACGAGCACAGGTGGCAGAGCCTTGCCTGTGCTTCTGGTGTTCTGGGCGCCGCCACAGGCTGAGCCCCATGGCGTCCGGCACAAGGCATGGGTGCAGTAGCAGGGGACACAGCAGGGATGCGCCAGGCTGCCAGGCAAAGCTCCTCCACGACAGTGGCGGAGGCGCGAGAAGAAAGCAGCAGGCCGTGCCGACTGCCAGCAGCCAGCAGCGACGCTCTCCCCGCCGGCCGGCTCTCCCGGAGAAAGCAAAATGGGCAAAGCAGCGACGGGCAGGCAGTCTGACTGCTGCCAGCTGAGGGAGGCACCAAGAGGCATGGGCGGTGCGTGGCCTGGCACAGGGTGTGGGAGGCCACCACAGGCTCTGGCCTTGGGCTCCCCGTCAGGAGGGGCCCTGCACAGGGTCTCCACCTAGGGCTTGGGTGGGGCCTGGGCAGTGATACCCCACGAGGGCACAGAAGCAGGAGCCCCACAGAGCTGCTCTGTGAGCAACGGCACCTTGCGCGGCTAGCACACGAGGCCGTAGGGCGGCCCGCACCGGCGCTGGCATCTGCAGCAGGCCCGTGTCACCAGTGACGTGGGAATCAGCCGGGCGGGTCCTTCCTCCAGAGTCAGCACCAGGCCCAAGGCCAAGGCGGCGCCGAGTGCCGCTGGCACAGGGCCATGTCCATCTAGGCAACCGCAGCGATGCCCTGGGGAATAGGCACTGCCCGGGAAAGCCTCAGACACTGCAGGGGCGGGGCCTGCCCAGTGCCAGGGACACGCCATGCCAGTCCCTCGGGGCAGGACAGGGAGGACACTCCAGGCTACACTACTCTGAGGACAACAGATGTCAGTTAGGATCAGAACAGCGACGGCCACTTCCCCAACCACGTCACCTGCCCACTCTCACAATCTGGGGACTGTTCTGGCTCCGGTGACACAGAAGCCAAGCCCTCTTGTCCAGTAGGTAGGATGGCACTGAGGAAGGTCGGAGCCACGAACACAGGGGTGAAGCGACTTCCTGAGGCCACCAGGCAGGGAGGGGGATGCAGGGGTCTCAACTCTGTGTCGCCACTCTGGACAGTGTCTAATCAGCACCATCCAGGAGCGGGTGGGGAGAGTTCAGGGGTCCTGGAGACACAGGTAGGAGGCAGAACAGGGATGTCCGAGCCACAGAGACACAGGAGGAGGGTACACACTGGGCTCCAGGAAAATAAAACTGGGGGCTTTTTGGTTTTTTTTTGAAACAGGGTCTCATTGTGTAATCCAGGCTAAACTTGAACTCACTGTACACAGCCTAGACTGGTCTTGAACTCCTGAGGATCCTCCTGCCTCAGCCTCTCAGGTGCTGCGATTACAGGCAGGCACCACCATGCCTAGAATCAGGGGTGCTTTGTTACTGAGCTCTCAACCCAGGGAAAGACTTGGGGTCTCGCTCTGTGGGGTGGAGAAAACAGAGCCCAGGCAGGGTCTGCAGCTGGACAGGTGGGGTCTGCAGCAAGCCAAGGGAGGCTGAGGCAGGGAGAGCTCTCCAGTCGCACGGCCCAGGTCCGGTTGGCACCCCCCATTCATCTCCCAGCCACACCAGGCACAGCACAACCACAGCAAAGAGCCAGAAGGGGGAGAGGGGAAACTGAGGCAGCCTCTCCCCATTAATAGGGCAGAGTGGTGTCGCTCAGCAAGTTGGAAAAGAACCATGACTTAGGACCATAACAGGAACTCACTTTTAGGGGTGGAACCACGAACAGGGCTCCTGGGAGCAGCCTCAGACTCCTTGTTGGAGTCCTGTGGGGTGATCTGAACCCCACCAGTACTTCACCCCTGAGAAATTGTGCCCTTAGGCTGTGCCTCAGTTTCCCCTTTTCCATCAGAGACCCAAAGCTCGTCTACCCCAACCACAGGGAGGAGTGAGGCCTAGGCACACATCTGGGGAGCTCCGGCTCCTGCATCACAGGCTGTCCCAGGAAAGCAGGGAGGTCACAGGGGTCAGGGGTCAGGTGACAGGGCTCCTGAGAAAGGATGCACATGCCCCTGCCACTGCCCACAAACATCCTGCGTCACCGACAGAGCCAACAGGAGAGTGGGAGGAGGTGGTGACCCTAAGCGCCTGGCTGAGGGCACAGCAGGGCAAAGGGCAGGGGCCACAGAACCCAGGGCTCCCCGAGGCTGAGCCCAGACAAGAGGCTTTGAAGGGCGGGAGCAAAGAGGGTCGGCTGGGAGGCAGCAGACTGCCATAACAGTGACAAGTCATATGACAGCACCGCAGGCAGGCACCGCGCCAGGCACTGCCTTAGGCACCTGGGGTCAGAGCCGTGGCCCTCACGAGACCACGATCACTGCACACAGAACGCACAGACAGCCACGCTGGCCGGCAGCAGGGGCCTGACTGGCAAAGCACTTGTTGGCCATATGGGTGTGACAAAGGTGACAAGGAAGTCCATGACAGCACTTTCCTCAGCCCTGACTGCATAAAGATGCTCAATAAACAGAGACACTGAGACCCAGGGCCTAGGGTGACTGCCTCAACCATGCCTTGACCCGAGGCTGGTCAGGGAACTTCCCTGCCTCAGCCTCCTTGCCTGCAGAATGGGTTGATGGGGGAGCAGGCTGCCACGTACAGCTCCCATGATCTAAACCAAGGGGAGTCTCCAGCCAGTGACTGGAACACGTCCATGCACGGCAGCAACTTGGAAGGGCATCTCAGGGCTCCAAACTGTGGAGGCCACATAACCACGCCCGTGATGGAAATGCCTTCCCAGCCCCAGGGAGGATTGCAGCAGAACAAGGAGACACGCAGAGCAGTCAGCGCCGGCCAGCTGTACCCACCCGGCCTCACACCCCTCACTGAGCAGCGAGGACACATGCCCAGCAGCAAGCTGTGCAGTGGGACCAGAAGCAGCGAGTGGAGGAGCCTGGGCCTCTACTCCCGCAAGGCACACAGCACAGAGGGAGGCAGGATGACAGCAGGGGGCCTGTGGAAGGCAGGGGAGGGTGCGGGCGAGGGGCTGAGCAAACAACAGGGCTCTGCCCAGCTCAGTCCGCCCTAGCCTGCAGCGGCCCAGCTCTCGCCAGACTGCTAAACTGCCCAGGCTGCAGCTCACCACCCTCCTTCCCAGCCTCCAGAGTAGCTGGGATCACAGGTGTGCACCACGAACACCCAGCTCACCTTCCCAGTTTTAAAACAGGACTCAGGAATTCTACCAAATACCCAGGATCGAGGACGCCACCTGCCAAGCAGCACCTTGTGCCATGGCCACGCCAGCCTGGCTCAGAAGGAATGGGTGGTATCACACACACGGGAGTGCCTTACCGTGTGGGGCCGGGCTATCTGCATCGGGTAGGAGATGCCATGGGGCGGGTATCGGGGCTCGGTGGCCCTCCAGGTCTGTGCCACAGGCTGCGTGGATCCCGACATGGCAGTGGGGGTCCGGGTGGGCTCTGGGCCCAAGCCGTGCTCTTGGTCAGCACCAAGCGTCAGCAGGAGGCCCCAGTCATCCACTCAAGAGCCACACGTCACAGGCATCTGCAGAGAGACAGCGAGAGGTGAGACCCACAGTCACTCACCCTGGCCCCTCACCCGCTGGCACAGGGAACCAGGAGCAGCCACAGAGCATCGGGGAGCCAAAGAGTACGACCAGGGCAGAGCTGGCCCCAGCAGCCCCAGGACCCAAGCGCTGAGGCTGCGTCCACGTCCCTGTCCCTACTGCCACACTGGGCAGCCTCTCTCCCAGCCTCTGGGACTTTCCATGGCTCAGGGGCAAAGTTCTCCAAAAGTTCCTGGCAGTGACAGCTCAGCTCACAGCTGCCGGCGCGGACCCAGAGGTCACCAGAGGGAGACGCACACAAGCGCCTGTGGTAGTGGCCAGGTTGGCTCCGGCAGGCCGCAGTTCACACACAGAATGACCCCAACAAAGCCCCCAGCCCACCATGCTATGATGGGGGATGGGATGACGTGAGTGTGACAGAGGCATATATGTAGTCAGGGGACACAGAGCGCAGGTCAAGAGGCAGTGGTGCTGTCCCCACAGGGGCTGCTGCAGCCACACTGGAGACTGGCATGGGCCTGACAAGGCAGCTTCACCTGCAGATCTGAGGAGGGCCCGTGGCCTTCTCCCTTCCTGGCTCTGCTGCCCCAGAACCAGCAGATACCCAGGGCTGCCCAATCCAGCCCTTTCCCCCAGAGCTGCAGCACCAGCATCTGGAGGTGGTCGGGCTGGGACTGCATCACAAGCGGTCGGGATGTGGGGGGGGGGGGGGGGACCGGGACAGCTGCCTGGCTCACTACACCCATTCTGACCACCCTGCCCCACCCTGGAGCCCTCCAAGGTCGTGAGGACCCTGGTGACCTGCCCCTTGGCAGTCTACAGTGCAGAAAAAAATTAAGATCACTGCAGCCACCACAGAGGAGGGATAGTAACCCTGCTATAAGACACCTGTCAGAGGCTCTGGCTGCATCCCGCTCCCAACCCACCTGTGACCACTGTGGTCCTCACTTTGCTTCCCAAGCTCCAGGATTAGTCCTGTGATCCAGGCCTGGCCAATCAGATCCCTGCTTCCCTAGAGCTAGTGATTGGCTGATGGATGTGCTTGTGACCCAATTCCAGCCAATGAGAGTCAGTCCTGGACTCGCAGGAAGACCTGGAACCAGGTGTGTCTAGCAGTACTGGGAGCTGGAGAAAGGAAGCCTGGAGCTCCCAGGGCTGCAGAAGCCCAGGAACGACACGCATGGGAAGTCAGCAGGGGCAGGTGTCACCAGCAGGTGGGACTTCAAACGCTGATGGTGGAGGACTTCAGGGTCACACAACACACACTGTCCACCCGGCCACAGCAACAGGGCATACGCAAAACTGTACAAACAAGGGACGGAGCTCCCTCCCCGTGCCATCCCCCGGCCAGCGGCCCTGGGCAAGCCAGTTCCTGAGAGCCCAGCCTGACCTCATGTCTCAGGGCACAACAGAGATGCCCCCCGTGGAGGGGCACCCCCATGCCCTGAGCCTCCTCTCACAAAGGCCTGATCAGCCAAGTCTTCCCAAGAGTCACCCCGCCAGCCCCAGCCCGTGTCCACACACACATGCAGGGTCCCAAAGCTGGGGACTCTGGCTACCCCATGGCTCCTCGCCAGGCGCTGAGCCAACTCAATCTCCAGCTCTGCTGACCTCAACTTTTTTTTTTTTTTTTTTTTTGCGGTACCGGGTATTAAACTTGGGACCCTGCACTTGCCAGGCAAGCACTTATTCTGCTAGGCTATCTCCCAGGGCCCAGATTTTTTTTTTTTTTTTTTTTTAGGAAACAGGGATTGAACTCAGGTTCTTATTCTGAGCTATCTACCCGGCCCCTCAACCTCAACCTTTAAGAAAGAGTCCAGCAGCTCTTCAGAATTTTCAGTCTAAAATTCATTACGGTAGCTGATTGGGCAGAATCAGGGACAGATGCCACACAAGGCAGAGTGTAGGGAGGGCCTGGAAAACAACCAGGGGGAATCTGGCTAAGCTCCCTAAAGACAGGGCCAGACAGCACCAGGGACTGCGGGGGGCTCAGGGATCCTAGTGACCTGGTCACCTGGCTGCCCACCTGGTCGGCCTCACTGAAGGCTGGTGTCCCCTCCCAGGTGGGCTCAGTGATGAGGGTGGGGGCTCAGAGCCAGGCACCCCGGGGTGTACAAGGGACAGATGGCAACATCAGTGACCGCAGAAGGACAGGGAAAGATAGGGACTATCAGGAACAAGTTCCAGAACACGGATGAGAGAGGCAGGGAAGTGGGGAGGGACAGCACGCTGGGTTGGGCGACGCTTGGCAGGCAGGAGGCCCCCGAGTGCCCAGGCCAGGCTAGGGGTGGATCTTGTGCCGGGGCAATGGGTAGCCACAGGAGACGCTTGAGGGCTAGTGTCTCACGGCAGGGCCTGTGGGGAGCAAGAGTGAGCCAGAGACAGGGTGGCTACTGCAGCACTCAAGCCAGGACGGCCCTGGACAGATCTGATCGCGGGACAGAGAAGGGACGTGGCCAAATAGCGCGAAGGCCAGGGAGGAGAGGCCACGGGCCTTGCGCAGCACTGGCCGGAGAGGACACTACAGCCCACACTGCCGAGAGTGCGGCGCCCACAGGCACAGGTCGGGGCCAGCAAGGCCTGCTTCCCCCGCCTCCCCACTCCCCCACCCCCGTCACAGCAGGTGGAGGACACCCATGCCAGCCCCTGTGGGGACTGAGCTGGGGTGCTGTCTTTCTGACATCCCTCAGGAAGGCAGGCCACAGACTTGGAAAGTAACCCTGGAACTGAGGTGCCCTGGGGCACACGTGCACAGGGTGGGCTACTGAACTGTGCTGCACCTCGGGAAACCCCCAGGGAACTGATGCCCCAACACGGGCCTAAGGCAGGGTGGCCCGGGCAGAAGGGAGTCACCCTCATGTGCTCAGGGTCCCGGCAGGATATGGCAAGCTGGCCTGGCCCCACAGACATAGCACCAGGGGTAGGAGCCAGGCCTGCTGGTCCCCAAGGAGATGGCGGGACCACACAGGACCTGACCTGAAGTGACCTGATAGCAGGGCACTGGCGGGCACCACCGGATGGGTCCAGGGCTCCTGCCCTTTCCAGCCCCAAGACCTCAACTGCTGGCACAGAGCCACACTGCCACAGCCCCAGCCTGTGCTACCACATGGCTGTCACATGCTGTGTCCTCCACGTCCTCGCCTAAGGATGGTCCTACTGGGTGCAGGCCCTCTTCGGTCCAATGGCCCCATCTTAGCTGAGGACATCTGCAAGACTCCATTTCCAAGAAGGGCAAACTCTGGTGAACCCAGCCGGTCCCCAGGGGCCAGGGGCAGAGGAGGCCTGCTCCACCTGGGTAGGTGCCCCATCCCAGGGGCCTGGCCCGATAAACAGAACAAATCCAAGACAGCCTGGTGGTAGAGGGGAGGCAAGAGCCATGTCTCCCCTTCGCTTTCTGGAGGGCTGCGAAGCTCGGGATCAAGTCAAGCACTCGAAGGCCAACCCTAGACCATCCCAGAGCCCAGCCCTCGGGTGACCCTAAAATCTGGAGAGGCTGCGCACCTCGCCCTGGTGACCTTGTGCCTAAATGACCCACAGTGAAATGGCAGAGCGGGTAACAGCGCCCAAGTCCCCACCCTGAGGAGTGGACCTCTGGCCACGTAGCACAGGAAAGGTTCCAAGTGCCCAAAGATGGCAGTGCCATGGAGAAACAGACCTGGAGACGGCTAGAAACTGGCATAGCACTTGCAGTGACCTCATGGAATGCCACTAGATGTCACTGGGAGAAGACACAGTCGTGCAAAGGCTTAAGGTGTGGGGCGACAGGATGGGGGCAGCACCTGGCCAGGGGCACGGGGCTGCAAGGACTTGAGTGGCCTCTGTGATGAACAGGTCTGGGGCCACGCGTGGCTTCGTGCATCAGGGCTGCGTGAGTCTACCATAAAAGCTCCCCTCACCTGGGTGTGGCTGACAACAGTGGGCACAGCCTCAGAGGGCATGGTGGGAGGGCTCTACAGCTTAGTAACAGTGGCCTGGGCCCCAGGGGAACGGCACCCACCACTCACCCGGGCAGACCTGGGACAGATGCCACTGCAGGAAGCCACTGGCCCCCAAGGAAGTTGGCCCCCAGCCCGGCGGTGCCAGCTCCCAGGAGGACCTGGGTCCTCAGGCTCAGAGCCTAGCTTACGGAACAGCCACAGGCGCACACCCTGTCCGTGCTCACAGGGGCGCCAGGAAGACAAAGCTGACCACAGACGGGCTTCTGCCCCAGCTCAGCCCTCTCCTGCTGCATGTGGGCACCAGAGCCCCAACCGAGAGGGCACTGAGGCACAGCAGGAGCCCTGCTTACTGGGGCCCAGGGCAGCAGGTGTCTGACCACCCGCCAGGGCCTGGAGGGCTGAGGGACACGTGCATGAGAGGAGGGTGAGAGTGAACGGCTGCAGGAAAGAACAGACGGGGGGTAGAAGATGGACGGACGGGAGGGAGAACGGGAGGCGGGTAGGCAGGTGGGTGAACACTGGGGAGGACATATGGCCTGACGGACATACAGACAAATACACGGGTAGCTGAGAACGGAAGGGCAGAGGAGTAGATGTGGATGGCAGGAAGGAGGACAGAGATGATGGATGAAGTGAATGGACAACGAATGGGTGGATGAGTAGGGGGGAGATGGATGGATCAGAAGGAGGGATGGATGGAAGAGAGGAAAGGAGAGTGAGTGAGTGAGTGAGTGAGTGAGTGAGTGAGTGGGTGGAGGGTGGGTGGTCAGATGAACCCACGGAAGGCAAGGTGGCTGGGTGACAGATTATGGGTGGATGGGTAGATGGACGACAGAAAGAAGGAAAATGGGCGGATGGATGCACAGATCCCACCTTGTTCCACTTTCTGGGTCATTTCTGCTCCCACTGCTTCAACTGCACCCCCCAAGCCAAAAGCCCCCTCATCCTCTGGCCCCTACACCACGCCCACACAGCTACTGCCCAGTCCCAGCCCACAGGGCTCCAAGGAGACCCCGCCTTCTGTCCTCAAAGCCAGCGTC